CCCCCCCCCCCCCGAAGAAAGTCTACCCCCCCCCCCCCCCCCCGGAGAAAAAAGTCTGGAAGAAACACTGGTCATTTTTTGTTCCTATTTATTAAATATGGTTTTTCGATCTTTAGTTTGCGCTCTTATGTCGGCGCTCTTTTGTCGGCAAATTGGTGCGCTCTTATGTCGGCGCTCTTATGTCGGCGCTCTTTTGTCTGCGCTCTTAAGTCGGCGCTCTTTTGTCGTGCGCTCTTTTGACGGGTCACCTCACATACTATCATACCACACGTCACATACTAAATTATCACAGGTCACACACTAACATACCATAGGTCACACACTAACATACCATAGGTCACATAATATCATACCACAGGTCACATACTAACATACCATAGGTCATACACTAACATACCACAGGTCACATACTAACATACCATAGGTCACACACTAACATACCACAGGTCACATACTAACATACCACAGGTCACATACTAACATACCACTGGTCACATACTAACATAACCACAGGTCACATACTAAAGTTAAATTTTAAAGAATGTTTTCTTAAAACCAGCCTAGTCTGTAAAATAAATAAATGGATCATAAACTATATGGAATCAGAATTTCATCAGCTCATTAAATTGAACCTCTAATTAGTCATTAGGCTCATGATCTAGTAGCTGGATAATGACACCGCAGGCATCCATAGTCATCAAAAAGGAACTGGGAAATGGACTTTGACCAGAGGCTGACTCAGCCTTTTTAAAAAACTAAGAAATAGACTTTGACAAAAGGCTGAATCAGCCTATTTTTTAAAAACAAGTTAATAAAAAGTCCAGTGACAATTTAAGTGCAATTTCCTTATGTTATCCATAACAATTTTAAATCGAGATAAATCATATATTCAGCAAATTTTTTGTGACCGAACGAAAGGATATTTTTGAAAACTTTCTTCGGCAATATTGTTCTAAATTATGGCAGGAATCGATTGGTAAATGTTTCAAGTCGCTAAGTGGTCTGGTTGCCGAGATATGGACCAAACACTGCATTTTTTTCGAGGTTTTTTTGCTTTTCCGGGAAATCCAGGAAGGAATTCCGGGAATTTTTTTGGCCCACAATCGTCCTCGGAACTTGCTTAACATATATGCTTTGGAACTAGTCCTCGATATTGCTTCGTGGAGGAGGAGATACGACTTAAAGCTGCGGACACACATCCATCCATCCAGAAATAACGAATTAATAATCGCAATTGTCAGTATGGAAATTGCGCTAAAAACCCTGAAAAATAGACTTTGACAAAAGGCTGAATCAGCCTATTTTTAAAAAAAAACACATGAAAAATAGACTTTGACAAAGGGTAACTATACGGCTAGCACAGCCTATTTAAACGACTGCATTTTAAACAAGTATCATAATCTGATTCTAAATAAATCAATAGTTCACAGAACACATACATAGAACACACATACACTTACATAGAACACATGCACTAACAATCATATAACACATACACTCACACTGAACACAAAGATACACCTATATAGAACACGCACACACACAATGACATATAAATAGAACACATGCACACGCTAACATAGAACCCGATACATAGACGCACACATAAACCATGACTTGACAAGATGGCAACTAACATAAATATAAGTAGCGTTAAAATCATTTTAAAACCGTGCAGTATTTTTATTTCTCGTATACAGAGTATAAAGAGAATATTGTAATCGTACACAAAAATCACATGAAATTTTGACAGTTTCCACCGTTTTACCTCTCAGTACTTTATCATAAACGGAGTATAGGGGACTTATTTTAATCGGGCAAAAATTCTAAATACAGATTTATTAAAATTTCGGCGTTTTACGCGTGATCGAGTCGGAAAAACTGGACTTTGCAATTCTGTCCGTGTGTGTGTGTGATTGGATGTGTGTTTGTAAACACAATAACTTGAGTACCGTTAAAGCTAGGTTGATGAAATTGCATATATAAGTATTATATTTATATCAAATTTGTATATCCGTATCAACTTTTCAACGATTTCCAGTAACCGGAAGTGGAACTTCTTCTACTTAGAATTTTCAAAAGCCTGTAACTTGAGTACTATTTCAGATAGATAAATGAAATTTCGCATGTAAGTAAAATATCTAATTCTCTACCTTCTGTCAAATTTTGAGTAATTTCCGTTGACCGAAAGTAGTAACTTACGCTATTTCCGATTTCTCAAAAAACGCATGTGAATTTATAAAGTACTAATAATATTCCACACTATTATGCACATTTGTATTTGGCGTTCACTTGGTGTACAATTCTTTTCCCTACGAGATTCTATTCTATTTTAAAATTATTTAAAATGGATTAAAAATCATGTCTATATATATCCCGTTGTTTTATATAAGAATATTCGAGAAAGTTTAGGGGAGATCACTCCCGGTTTATTTGCTATAGTGAACTGGGGGGGGGGGGTGTCAAGAGTTTAGATAATTAAAAACGACATTTTGATTTCTTAATAATTGAATCAAATTTTAAAGTTATCGGGTCCCCGATAAATTGTGATAACCAAATAACAGTAAGCCTTCAATCTTTATTATTTTGTTAACCTTACACTACATTGGCTATGTAATAACCCATTTTCAGCCTCGTTATACTTACATCGAACATGTCAAACTTAAGATAAAATAGGTTTGTACAGACTTTTATTTAGCTTGCTTTCTCTGTATGTCGTCAGTCTGTCTCAATCCTAGATCGAAACGGGAGAGCGAAATTTCGGGCACTTCTAAGCAACCAATTTCTCTGAAATTCAGCACGTGGGTCAAGACCCGATGACAATGCATTTGACATTAAATTTTACTTAATTAGATGACTAACTAATATTTGTTATGAATTAATTAAAATTTTCTGAAATTAGTAGGCTGTTTCATTACTACTATTCCGCACTATTATACGCGCGTTATCATGTTCATTTGGTGCGCAATAGTTTTTAGTCATGCGGCTCTATTGTATTACAAATTTTTAAGTACCGAAAAAAATGCATAAAAAACATTTTAATAACAAGCTTGTATGTAATAATGCACTAAAAAGGAGGAAATAAATGATTTTTGATGATTATATTATAAAACACTGCTATTTAAATAACTACTATAAGGAAAAACGCAAGTGGCTTCCAAAATATTAGTAAAAGTATCCAATACACAGTGTTTCTTTCAGACTTTTTTTCTCAGGGAGGGGGGGGGGGGGCTGAAATTTTGGGGGAGGGGGGAAGGAGCGTACTAAAATTTCCGGGCGGCGGACACGGCTAAAAGTATATATTGTCTATTTAATTCCATTTCGTTGCAAAATGTTTTTTGCCAGTTCAATTAATAATTAATTAAAAATATATTCTTTTAAGTACAAATCGACAATAATTACACAGGGGTTAAGGCGATGACGTAAACTTGCTTACTATAGAGAAAAAAAATGCTACATCCAACTAGATCTGTATTATTAACAGACTATAAATAAACATCGTTACTATTAAGTCTGCAGTGATTAATAAAGCTAATAAATATACATGCACGCGCATGTGTCAATGTCATATATATTCAAATTAAAGGCCTATATGTAGGTCAATACACACACACACACACTCATATATATATATATATATATATATATATATATATATATATATATATATATATATATATATATATATATATATATTATATATATATATATATATATATATATATACTTTGTTTCTTATGGGGGGGGGGGTGACACCACGAAGTGCCACACCGGGTGATACCCGACCTAGCGACATCTTTTTGTTGAGATGAAATACCTTGGGTCAAGAGCACAAATATAAAGTGTAGTAGTAATGGATTGGATATATTTTTCAACAAAAACTAAAGTCGAGTGGTCCGACCGGGTAACTTAAGTCATAGCATAGACTATTCCAGTGGTGTAGCTATCGTAAGCAAGGCATAGGGGCCCAAGGAAAATATGGGTAAAAAAAATTGTCGAAAAAAACGTGACGTCATTTATAGATAATCCGCCTAAGTTTGAAGTGTAGCGCCATATTTATAATTTAAAAGAAAACTAGATTATATATCTAGATCTAGACTACTAGATTCTAGATCAGACTAGATTCTACTATTCTAGAAAATTCCCGATTTAGTAAATCTGAACAAACTATAATAACATTTTCATATAATAATGGGCAGGTCACTGCTAGACTCGACCCCTTTACAAAATTTCATATTAAACTAGATTTAGATCTATCTAGATTCTACAACTAGATTCTAGATCTAATCTAGATCTAGAAGGGTCTAGTAATAAAATAGGTAGAAGACCTAATCAAGTAACAATAGTAACAACAGTAGCCTAATAAACTAAAATAAACGTCAATTAGGCCTAGGCTACATCAGTTATGTAAAGAAAACTTAATTATCGACTATAACTACCTTATGGTATGACAGCAGCTTGCGGGTGAATTCGATACTTTCTCAGTATCGTAAATTTTTTTTGGTAACTACTAAACTAGCATCTCATTAGTATGGTGTAGTCAAGACTGGGGGCATAACAAAGATTGGAAACATTAGGGTCCCTATGGTATGGATAACATTTATGTAACGTATTAACTATAACCTATTGAAAAAATATTGAGGCATAACCTACACAAAATAATTTATAGGCAAACTCCAAGGTGTGTGATGTATAGTTCTGTATGTGCTAAAAAATGAACGCATATCTCTTTAGACTTTAGGGGTCGTCCATAAGCGACATCATACTCCTAGACGATGCATGACGATGTTTACCGAGCTAAGTTGGCTTAAATATTTTAGGAAGAAATAGTTATGGAGAAATATAAATTCGAAGTGGGGTGGGGGTGGTAGACTGAAAGGTATCGTCCTTTAAACAGGAGGAAATCTGGCTTTTTAATTTTGAGGGAAAGGAAAAATAGTTTTAAAGATCGTATCTAGTGCATTTAATTATAATCGATTACGAAATTATTTTTTCGATTGCCCACTCAACGATACCTTTTGCATCGGCTGATTTCACGCTTACAAGATCCTTCTTTCTGGATTTAGTTCTAGCTTCAACTCCGGTAATTTACCTCGTGGTTTAACCTACTAGGTAAATAGTTTAAAACTCATAATTTAACTTTATTATTGGTTTAAATTTAACTAAGATGCCTAGATTTAACACAATTACTAATCAACTATTAAATACGGCAAAGTGTTTGCGCTGTGCGTACTGTCTCAGTGTCTGTTGGCACTGTTGGGCCATTATGTTTTTTTTGTCCTGACCTCTATTCACTCTATTGACTCTAACTCTATTGTCCCACTATTGAGAAGAAAAAAATTGTGCTAGATTCTAGATCTAGAAGATCTAGATTTAGATCTAGATGTTGAGTCTATTCTAGTAGGTCTAGTTCAAGTAAGAATAATTACTATAGATCTAAATCTAGATCTATGATCTAGTGGTGGTCTCTAGACTAGATCTAGATCTAGATCTAGGTAAATCTATCGTTTTAGTTGGTAAAATCCAACTAGATTCTAGTAGGGATTTAGGTAAAAAAACACTAATCATCATATAAAAATAAAAATTACATATTCTTGTAGAGCTCAACAAAATGAAAACAAAACAAAAAAGATTTTTTGTCTAGCTCAAATGGTTTTTTTTTTGCGAATTTTTTTGTGAGGGGTGGAATCCCCTTGCTTTAGCATTGGCCAATTGTGACAAGTCATGGTATACCTGAATAAATTGAGCATAGTTATTTTACTTGCAGTTGTATTTTGTTCATATTTGCAGAGTTTAACTAGAATGATATATAGATCTAGAACTTGTAAATGCTGTTGAAATTAATAAAAATAATACAGAACTTATATTTTTGTGTTGGCTTCCTCCCATAACCCCAAAAAACTGTGTGCTGCGCAAATATGAAAATGTTTCTAAAGCCATATTTTATATAAATACAGCAAATGAAAGAACTACAAAGTTAGAAATCTAAAGTAAATGACTTGAACACTGTTATGTGCATATAATTGCCTCATTATTTTGGGCAGGTGAAGTAGAGTCCATCTTTAAGCCATTTTGTTATAAAACTGCTGCGCAAATATGAAAAAGTTTCTAAAGCAATGCTTTATATAAATACAGTGAATGAAAGAACTACATAGTTAGCAATCTAAAGTAAATGACTTGAACACTGTAATGTGTCTATAACTGCCTTGTTATTTTGGGCAGGTGAAGTAGAGTCCATATAAAAGCCATTTTGTAATAAGTGAAATGAAGTTATCAGATCAATGTTTTTATGTGTGAATTGTGTATGGATTCTGATTTTCAGCATATAACTATATCTAAGGGTAAGTAGAACTTGAATACTTAAAATTACAGTTAGCACAATGCTAGTGTAAAGCAACAGACAGGTAACCTAGATCTAGGTCTGACTCTTGTCAGTCTAGAGTCTAGTCTGACAAAATTGGATTTTTAGGAAAAACATATTCTGCAAAACTAGAGCTGAAAAAATTAAAGATGGGTATGTAAATATATTTTGAAATAAAAAATTAGATTTGTTTGCACATGCCATAAGAATGCTGTTATTAGTTGATCAAACTTAAAGGCAGGAAGATCGGGATGAAAAAATATAACAATGGTGGCAGCGTGACCTACATACAGTGACTACGTTCGGAGGGGTATAACTAATGTCGGAGTCAAAATATCCAAAAACAAATTTCATTTCCAATTACTTAAGATATGTCTGATCAGTAATCTACTCTCATCTAGAGGAATCTTTTAAAAAATCGAGATTCCAACGTATTTGAAACTAACCTTGATACAGAGGGAAGACCAAAGCAGAGACAGCATGCAATCAGGTCGCAAAGCCATTAAAACTAAGGGATAACCACTCTTCTTTTTAATTAACCTTAGGAAATGACCTTTTAAACTTAATTAATTACCATAAATTAAAAACTTATTAGTATGCAAAACCAAATCTCGTGGGTCCGGTATCAGAAAGTAATGGGCGATTTCGGGTCATGTTTTTACCGCGAACTCGGCGGATGCCGACAACCCTAATTCTAGATCTAGATTAGTAGATCTAGAGCCTAGATCTAGAATCTAGTAGATATCTAGATATTATAAGATATGTGAAACACAGGTGACTCCTTAGACTAAATTTTAATAAATATTTCACATTTTGAGGAGGATTGTTTTTAAAAATACAAAAATGTTTCCTTGTTTCATTTAATAAATTAATATGTAACTGTTTTTAAACAATTGAATTAGGCCTAAAACTTAATAAATTATTTTAAGACTAGATCTAGCAATATTTCCAATAGAGGCAACCCTTCTCATTTACTACTTTAGCAGCCATCTGGTTTAAGATTTTTTTTTGTAAACTTGTAACACGAGATTCAGGGGAAGCTACTCTATTTTACAAATGGCTGCTGTTTTAATAGATCTAGCAAATCTTGCGCACAAACACTGCTGTTTAAGGATAATTTCAGGCCTATATACTATATTGATATATTTTTATTTAGCCATTGATTTAGGTTTATTATTCATTTATCTATAGGCCTAATATTTGACATAGGCTATATATCACATATACTTCTATTAAAGCCTTGACAATGAGTTAACTTTTTCGTACATTACTAGCCACTGGCGATTTTATGTACCTAAAACGATAGATTACAGTCTCTAGGCCTATAGATTCTAATATATTACAAGTTAGAGTAGAATCAGAAGATCTTATCAATTCCAATCTAGATTTTACCTACCTTAAACGATAGATTACCAGAAAATCTATGACTTCCTTATGATTATGTCAATGCTATCTATTTTATTGCTAACCCTTGTCCTACCATAGTGTAGCCAGTTACGGGGCTTAACCTGCCTTAAAGTTAAAGCCTTAATCAACTGAGATATTACAATACTACTAAGTTGATGTCCATCCCCACTATCAATTGTCCTATACTAGGCTAAGGCTTTCTTTTTAGGTTACAATCTGCAAATATTGAGCGTGATTACTTTTAAATGTGCCTTGTTGGCGTGGGTGTTAATTATAAAACAGATAAAACTAGGATGTCATTATAATTGTGAATTGAGTAGGCCTACACTAATACTAGGGAAATGAAAAGCATCTGGGGATAAAATCAACAATACACTATCCAATTAAAACTTTTGATTGGTATGTAAACTCATGTTAGTATATTAGACACACGATATTTTTTAATAATTTAACCTATCCTAATACTAGTAATACAGTAATTTCAATAGGTTATGTTTTTTTTTTACTAAATATGAAATTAACTAGTTAGGCCTACCTATAAAAATTGCTAATGTAGACAAGCAAGGTAACTATATTTAAAGTTTTTTTTTTTTTTTAAATTGAGTAGCATTGTTTAAAAAGCAGTTTCCATTTTTGTTGCCCTATGTAGCCTAGTTTTTTTTTTACCCTCTTTTCTTTATCCTACTTAAACTCCTATAGGTATGTCAAGGTGATCAATTATGAACAAAAATTGCTGTCAGGAGATAGTTTACTGGTTCAGTTACTGATAATGCATTGGTGGCTAGTTTATAGGCCATGATAAGGTTTGTAATGACCAACAATTTTAAAATAAATTTTAAAGGTATGTTGGTAAAGTTTATCCAAAGACTGCTTTAGTAGTGAAGTATACAAATTTCTGTGTATGAATCAATCATATGATTGTTTCTAAGTTTACTTCTGTTAATAAAGTTTTATAATACTTCAGTTCACTTTTGATCTATCATATGTTATTCTTATCTTCTAGTTTGAAGTATGTTGTATCTGATATCAAATTAAAGTTCATTGCCACTTTTTTTTGTGAACTGAATTTACTTTATCATGATAAAGATAATTGACCTCAGGTATAAAAAAAAATTCCCCGTCAACTCTTTGTCCATTATTTATGTCACTGAACAGTGTTGACTGATATCTTAGTATTGCTCTCTTGTAATGTGACTAAATCTACACTTGTGTTGCTTTATGTGTCACCAGGTAAGTATGTAGGCTAGAAAACATTTAAAAATCTGACAAGCATTTCTTTATGTTGTGATATGCTTAATATTATATCTTTTTGCCCACATCCTTTCATATTCTAGTATAGCTTTGTGGATCATTTTACTCTGTCCTATACTAGAGATATCACATTTCAGGTCAATATTTTTTTTGTTACAGGTAAACTAACACAATGGAGTTGACACCACAGTCTGACCCTAATGTGGGAAAGAAACCAAGCCGTTTTCTGCTGCTCTGGTTTCTTTTCCGCACTATGCATGTTACACAGACGGGTGAAGAATCCAGCACACCAGAAGATGATCAAGTGGCGGTAGCTGACACTGTAGCCCCTTTAGAAGATGATGCTCTAGCTAAAGTTAATCTGCCTAGGAAACTGCCCTCGATAGTAGAAATTAAAAAGGTATTTATTATTTTTTTTTTGTGTAAGTAAAAAATACACAATGAATCTTGTAATTTTGATAGTTTTTTGTTTTATTAGTTTTAAACATGTACAATAGACTTGATTTTAGCAAGACAAACTAATCAACAATTTTTTTTAGGCCCTGCCTCAACAATGTTTTGAATCAAGTGCATCATTATCTATCTACTACATGGTCAAAGACTTTATCCTTGTAGCATTTTTTTATGCTTTGGTTGAATGGACCTGGGAAGTGTTTCCCCCTGCTGCTCAGGTATGTTACTTAAAAATCACTGTTATATGTCCCTAGGTTTTCTTATGTAGTAGTCATGTGTATCAGAATTATGTGTATTCATCGAAGTCTGGCTGATGATAGATTTTGATGATACTAGTGTGAGCAGGAATTAGGTTTTCTAAAATTTTATGAGCAATTTATGATTATTTTTTTTTTAGAAATAACAGTTAATACTTATTAAAAGCCCCTGATTATGATTAGACTTTGAATCAACGTTATAGTTTAGTCAAAACAGAAAATGGTTCCTGCTACATTTTTTTAGCATTTATATTGAAATAATTATGGTGTTTTCCAGCATTGATATTATTAGATTTGTAAATCAATAATAATAGATCTATTTGTACTCAAAATAAAACTCTACTTTATGCTTGTAAATTACTATTTAAAAATTTTGATATTTATTTATTTAAAAAAGTGTACACTGCTTAAAATAAATTTTATCAGCACATTCAATTAAGAATTTATCATTTCTTAGATAAGAATAATAAAGATAAATGTTACTAAACACCCATTACTATAAAAGGCTTTAAAAACGTATTAGCTTCACATCAGCAACAGGCTGCACTGTTAATTTAATTATAGAAAAGCTGTTTGAATCATTTGTTCTTCACAGATTGTGATCACACCTTTATTCTGGCTAATACAAGGCACTTTGTTTACTGCCCTCTTTGTGGTCGGCCATGATGCTGGTCATGGTTCCTTTTCCAACTCAGAACTTCTAAACACAATTTGTGGAAATATCTGCCATACTTTTTTGTTCTGCCCATACTACATGTGGAAGGTGAGGTTTTATACCAATACATTGTTTCTGAATTTTTAAATTGCTGTTAAGATTTTTATTACCCAATTTTTTTTCTCTTAGGTTTCTCACAGAAAACATCACAAGAATACTGGCAACATTGACAAAGATGAAGTATTTTATCCAGTGCGCCAAAGAGATGACTCCAAAATACCATTGTTACCAGGGTTTGGGCTCGGAGTTGGCTGGTTTGCCTATCTTTTAAAGGGTTACAAGCCAAGAGGTGTAAGTGTTTTCAGCTGTTTATCTTGCTTAACTCTCAGAACTGCAGAAGCTAATTAAAACTTTCCCTCTGTACCAAAAACAAAGGGAAATAAGTGCAGAATTAAGTCAAAACTTCAAAAATTCATCAAAATCACCCATCCACCATTCAAATACAAAGTAACTTGGGTTTATAGAGAAAGGATAATTTGATTTAAATACAACACAATTATTATTTCCAATGTTATGTAAACATGCAAAGTTTTAAAAATTGAATTATTTCATGATAACCATGAAAAAACTGAATTAAAATCTGGTTGAAAGCCAATTAGAACCAATTTACCAATGACCTCACTCTCATTATCTAAAAGTTCACAATTAAATGCATAATCATTAGCAATACCATTTGACATTAGTGATTCAAGATAAGCAAATGCCATTTGACTGTCTGAAATTGAGCAAACCATTACTTATTAAAAATCAAAACCAAAGACAGTAACTTCAATCATACAGGTAATAAATAAGCCTGAAATGACTAAATATAGCTTAAAATTTTTATATTAAATGCTTTTCAAAACTCATTAATAAGTAGAGTTTCATGTGCTACGCACTACTGAAAAATGGCCTTTTGTTTAAGGTGGGATATGGATGAAACCATGAAAGTTGTAATGCAACCAAAAGGGCCCAAATTATCTTTAGTACCTGAAAAGTTTTTTTCTATTACAGGTTCAGCATTTCAACCCACTGCATCCAATGTTTCAGTACCACGTGTTGAACTGTTTTATCTCCCTGATTTGTATCGTGGGCTGGTGCATTTGTCTGGCACACTTCAAGGATATGTTTGGTTTGGGTGCACTAATTTACCACTGGGTCATCCCAACTTTTATATTTGGCTCCTACACTGTCATCATAACCTTTCTACATCACACTGAAGATGATATTCCCTGGTATAGTACTGAATTGTGGGACAATGTTAGAGGTCAGCTCTCCTCTGTTGATCGTTCATATGGCTGGTGCCATTACATCATTCACAGGTGATTGAATTTCTTTGATATTAATATTAGCATTATATTGATTTATTGAATGTATGAAATCTAATGAATTTCAATTTTCTTTCAGCATTGGAACACACCAAATTCACCACCTGTTCCCTAAAGTACCTCACTATCATTTAGAAGAAGCCACTGTAGCTTTCCGTAAAGCTTTTCCTAAGCTGGTCAATGTACGCCATGAACCAATCCTTCCTGCATTTTTCAGAATGTTTAAAAAATATGCCCAACAGAATGTTATTGATAATGACAAACAACTTCATTTATATAAGTAAAGTTTAAAAAAAAACGTTTTATTTTTATGATAGGGGTTAATAAAGTAGTTCCATTTATACTGCCATTTAAATTAAATTTTTAAATTAATAAGAACACGTCAATTTTTAGCTAACATAAGATGGTTTACATTAGTTAATGCAAACTTACCTAATTGAGATTTGGAAATGGCTATCTAATCTGTTGTTCTTTTTATTACAAATTGAATGTTTAGAAATTCTTTTTGTTTAAATTTGGTTTGATACATAATTATCTAACTACGGTAGTAGGTTACAATTTTTATTTTTGCACAAACAAGAACTCTCCAGCAATGCAATTTCTTAACAAAAAAAAAAAGATTTTTAGTTTTTAAGATGAGTGTTCATGTATTGAAATACTGTATTGATACTAGGCAACCTAAATTTAGGTTGTGTCTCTTGATATTAAAGTTAAAACCGTTTTTTTTTCAGCATCTTTTAGTCATTTATTTTGTATCAAGATAATGAAGCTTAAATAAAGCACTACAGTAATTTTGCCTTTGCTAACAGATTTTTATCTTAGCTATTAGTAAATCTTTAGACATGATGGTAAATTTGTAAGACTAAGCAAAGGCTGTATCTTTGTTTCAAAATTTGATGTGCCTTTTATTATGAAAGTTTAAATAGTATTTAATTTATTAACATAATTCAGTATTTTCTTTAAATGTCCACTTTTTGTTTGATGGACTTCATAGAACACAGATCATTGATCATTAGATGTTTGTTGAAACAAGGGCAATATTTTGTTTAGATTCAAATGTTTATTTTCTTTTCTTAATGCCAATGTTAGTTTTTTTTTTTAATAACAGATCATTACGGTTTTTGCTGCATTTTCTTTTTTCCCAGTTGTATTGATTTTTTGAATAATTTTTAAAACAATATTGGCTTTTAAGTTTTTTTAAAAATAACACTTAAAAGCTAAGTGATATTATTTTCATTTACTTAATTGTCTATCAAAGGAAAAAACATTGAAGGTTATGTATTTTTTTAAGAACAATATTTTTAAGGCAACTTTGAACATGACAAATGTAGGCACAGGGTTTCAATGTACCTTTGACTCCTCTCATCCATGTTTTAATGAATGACTTTAGGGGAGAGACTGTGGAAACAATACATGTCCACAATGATTTAAAAGCTAATAAAGATAAGTCATCAATCCCTTACTTTGACTTAAAATTTGTGTGATTATTAAAACTTTGCTATGCACTTTGTGTGTATCTTAATTAAAGAGAACTTACTTTTTTAAAAAATGTTAAAAACCTGCATTTAAAATGTTTGAATTTTTTTTCTATAACAAATGGTGTTCAAATTGCAGCACAAATTGCTGACATGTAGAATGTATTCATGCTCAACTTTCCTTTTTATAACTCCTTACTAACAATTTAGTACAGAAGTTGTCCCTCTTGTAACTGAGTAGTTAAGCAATGACATTGTAAACACACATAGGAAGAGACAAAATAAACCCACTATGTCAGCCACTTATGTTTTGTTACTTGAGGCCAGTTATTTTAATTAAGGAACTAGCACTACAACCCAAGCACCACAGTGGTGTGCTGTATGAAAACCTTGAGTGTATGTTGGACATCCTCAGCAGGTGATGAGGTGGAATACCTATGGGCCACTGCCCTATTACCAAGGGACTGCCTTGGGAGCCAACAGCAAGTTATGGTAGTAACCAATCATATCCATGGTGCAGGGTGTTCCTGGTATCTAGGCCACCCCTAGTGCAGTAATCTTTTGATTCAAGTAGTAGCTGAGATGCCCAATGCTTATTGTGAGGGAGTGAATAGATGATAGATCTTCCGCCAGTTGTTAGGGTGGGGAAATGCAGTACAACCAAATGTGGGGGTGATGATGAAAATACAACACACAAGTCAAAATATGTTGTTAAAATTTACATAAACTCCTACCTACCTAATCTACACTGTATTACTACTTCTAACTGTTCATACTATATGCTATCTACTACTAACTACCACTCCCATGAGCAATCCTAACACATTACATTCTAATTCTCTACCTGACCGTTCTCTTGCCCTACTTCACTATCAATTGTATACCTAGCTCTACATTTCTCAACCCTTTCTAACCGATACCTAACACCTCTTGGCCTAACTGCAGACCCACACTTCAGTGGTCAGCTCATGTACTTTCATTGGTCTCTCTAACCAAGTAGCTACAGCCTGTTTCTACTAGCGTCATCACACATACCTTGATGAATTACTAAAAGAGTACTGGCCCCAATATTAAATTCAAGATTAAGAGAATGGTGTGGTAATGCATAAAGACATTCATAATTTAACACAATTTCTTCAATGGATCATGAATGAAAGTTTATTCATAATAATTTCCCATCCAGTATTTACAAACCAAGTACCTCCAGTCAACACCAGAGCAAACTTAAGCTCAAAACATACATATTACAATGTAGATAATTGTGTGAAAAAGGCAGAAATGATTCACGGAGAAACAGGTTTTAATGAAGCATGTTTTTTGTGGAGGATTCTCGCCTAGGGACCATGACAAATCTGCTGCATTATTGTTGCAAAAAGTGCCATTAATTGTAAATACTCATCCGCTCCATCCATCAGACATTTGTCCACTTCCTGAAAATTTGACAAAAAAAGTACAGACTTCAGTATTATAAGAGAGTGAACTAAAAATAAATAAAATACCTCCACCGGGCTTTTAAATCATGACAACCCCCCCCCCCCCTCCAAAGTTTGCACCTAAAAAAATGATCCTGCTTTTTACTTTCTCATATAGGCCTACTTAAGTATAGAGGAAGTATTGTTACCGTGCAAAAAATCATGCGGAGTCTGAAAAACTTAGTTTTTGGAATTTTGTCTGTGAGTGTGTGAATATAATAACTAGAATACTGTTACAACTAGGTTGACAACATTTAAAAAATAAGTATTCTATCAAATTTGTAGTTCTGTAACAATTTTTCAGGAATTTCCGGTAACTGCAAGTGAAACGTATTCTACTTTCAGTTTTTCCAAAGCCTATAATTTTAATACTGTTTCTGATTGATAAATGAAATTTCACATACAAGTAAAAAATGTAATCATCTGTTTTCTGTGAAATTTCTGATTTCTCAAAAAACGCATATGAATTTATTTTTAATTTGATTCCTCTTTGTGTCATCTGTGACAGTAGGGAAATTGCTAACACAATTTCGAACACTTCTACTGGACTGAGTTATTTAAAAAAATTTTCACATAGGTCAAGACTCAAAAACAATGTATCTGATATAAAATTTTACCTAATTAAATGAATAATTAACACTATAAAAATTAAATAACTTTTTTTAAAAAAGTAATAATGTGACCCACATAATATAAAATGTTTGCTGTTCATTTGTTGTGCAATTATTTTTTCTAATTCTATTTTTAAAATTAAAGTATTTAAAAGATGATTAAAAATTATGTCTATATCCTGAGTTGCAATCCCCCATAGTTTCAAGTAAGATTAGGGGAGATCACTCCTGCTGAATTAATTTTTGCAACAACAAAATTCAAGGTGCACAATTTTAAACTCACAGCCATCTTTAGTGCAATAATTGACTTCTGTAGATCTGATAAACTGTCCATGACAACAATCTTGTCATGGAGTTGACTTAGTAACTGAGACGCAGCAAATCCTTCCATTATGATCCTCTGTGGGGGGGAAAAGGAGGACATCACACAAGACTTTCAGTAAAATTAGAGTAGTAAAGAAGCAATTTAAATAATAAGATTGGTTGAATCATTCATGCAATCAAAAATAAAATTACAAAGTTAAAGCAAGTACATGACTTGATTAATGAACACAAATACCTGAACTTGTTAATGGACCTGAGCGAGAAAAGTCTCAAACGCATTCAAAGGCCTATTAAATATTTTTGAAATCATACACGGCGTAGTAAAATTAATAAGGTTATAAAATCCAATTTGTTTGGGTTTTTTTCAGACTATAGATTGGATGTATTTGATGTTTTTAATATTTTCGGTAAATAAAAAAAAATAGCAAAAATCAATTTGGTTTTCATGTGTAATGGCGACATAAACAATGGCATTCAATAGGCTAGCATAAACTTTATCGTACAAATTGTAAGCAAAAAAAATGGCAGAACTAGGTCATGTGGTTTAAATTTGCATTGTTATTTAAAAACTATCTGCAAACTTTAGTAAACAACAAACTATGATGTGGGGCTGTCAGAAATTGATCACTGAGTTCCTGGACAGCCATCAATTTTTGTCATACTAAAGTGAAACAACGGGCTATAACTTAGGCTTGATGAAAATAAATAGAAATGTAGCCTTAAACTCAAGAAATTGTTTTCAAATTCTCTGAATTTGCAACTTTTATAACATTGATTCTAAAAATATTAAATTTCTGAATTATTTTTAAGGATAAGTTTTTATTTTTTATTACTTTTACGATCTCTTTGATTGCAAATTTAAAAATGCATGTCTTTAATCCATGTCAACAATATGATGGAAGGATTCTCGTCAACTTGGTCGCCTCCATTATGGAAAAACATCTATATATATAATTCTCTTCTGGGAGACGCTAGAAAACAAGCTGTAAGCGCGCTCCCTACCACCCCCACCCCTACATGGTCTGGTGAGCTGTGGTTCACTCTAAATGTTTACAAGCACAGCCGGGTTTAGTGACAACTATTAGGGGCAGATAATTTAGTTCGAAACGATTTTAAACGCAGGGTGGGGTTAACTAAGTGGAGTATACTTTAACGGAGGAGGGGGGGGGGGGGTTTATTGTCCTTAAAGAGCTACTTATAGTGTTTTAAAGAAATATTTTCAGTGGCAGCGTTGGTACTGTCGAATTCACAAATTATGAATTACTGAAAAGTAGAAAAAAACAACTAAATAGCGGCGTATGATATGCTGCAGGCCGGCTCGTTATTTTTAAAATCCTAGTAGTACCTGAACTGCAAGGTCAAGGTCACTATATGAATCACTTGAACATGTGGAGATAACTTTGTCAAGATCGTCATCTGGAATAACCTGCAACATTTTATACATCATTTTAGATCTAACAATATGTTCTTGAAAACCAATTTAACAATAATAAAAGATAAAAGCTAAATAAAGTTCAATATAAAAAATAGATATTTATAAGAAACACAAAATAAAAGACATACATTAAAAACAAATTAATTTCACCTCACCCCAGCTATATCATAAACCATGGCTGCTGTAATATGACCCTCCTTGCCACAAAGCCTTGATGCACTTTGTAGGGTCATGATAGCTTTTCTCATGTCTCCTTCGGATGTTTTTATTACTGCTTCAACTGCCTAAAAAAAATCACTGAAGATTCAAGGCCTAACTTGACTTTTAAATAAAGTACTAAACTGAGTGAATAGCTTGTTGACACTTACAGAATCTTCAATAGACACACCTTCTCCTTCGCAGATTGCTTTAAGTCTAGATGATAAGATATCTTCAGCCAGGGCTTTAAAACGAAACTTGGCACAGCGAGATGTAATAGGCTCAATAATGCGGCTAACGTAGTTGCAGATTAAACAAAATCTGGTTGTCTTGGACTCACGTTCCATTGTCCTCCTCAGAGCAGACTAAACAAAAATTTGTAAAATGTTGAATGAAACAAACTAATTATTACCACCCAAAGGCACCATAAAACATCAATTTAACAGAAAGCTTTAATGAAAGCTTAAACCCCCTAATTTGGCTTTTTTGAAATTAGCCTTACTTTACTTATTTTAAATCAAGTAGGGTGGTGAAAATATCACAGAAAACACACTTTATGCTTACAAATGTTGTATACTTCAATAAAAAAAATTGTGGCATTAATTTTGGAGAAAACGACTTAGAAAAATAATTCTTGTGTACATCATATCTCCAACAATTTTCAATATACTTGTACTAAATTTTGCACACACTTAACTGAAAGTTAGAAGAACGAATTGAACTAAAATAATAGCTGTATCTATTATAGATTTTTTTAAAACAATTTTGTCCTGAACACCACACTTGTTAATTTTCAGCCCTTTGATTAAACATGTAAAAAAAAAAAATTTGATATGCCAACTTTAATTTTTTTAGTTCATTATATTCTTAAGGGAATAAATAATGTTGGTGCTAAGTTTTATTTGAATATCTTCGTTAGTTTTTGTTATACTTTGTACAAGAGCAAGTCTGTTTATCATCAAATTTCAAGACTTAATTTATTTTAAATGAATGTATACTATACTTGTGAGCAAAAATTGGCTTTTCTTATGATTTTGTCATCACCCTACATTATTTAAGCTAGGTAAGTAAGTCTAATTACTAAAAATCAATTAGGGGGTTTAAGCTGTCCTTAAAGTAATGTACCCTGAGTTATGCCAAGGCCACAAGGCAGAATGAATAGTGTGCAAATTCTAGAATATGACATACATGATACAGTTAGTGAACATAATGGGTTTCTACCAAGAGACCATCAGTGAACATTATTGGGTCTATAGAGACCATTAGTTAACACTTTGGGTCTATAGAGACCATTAGTTAACACTTTGGGCCTAAATAGCAGCCATCTGGGAACAATATGGGTCTAAAAACTACCACCAGTAACTCCAGTATTAATACCTGTGCATCTTTGGTCATAGAATCAGCTTCATCTAAAATTATTATCTTGAATGGCGGACAAGGCTTGCCACTAAAATAAAACAAAAGGTGTTTGACCAGGTCCACAGAATGTAAATATGCAAATGAAAAAAGAACAAAAAAACTTGTTAACAAGATTGGATTTATATTAACAGGAATACTGCTTTTTGTTGCTTATAAAAGGTCAAGCCCTTAAATAGTACATTTATTTTCAAAATCTATACACAAAATTTTTAAATTGACATACAAAACAAATTATAAAAAAACAACTGAATACTGTCTAATGTTAAAAATTTAAATTACTCAGGCCGTGAACCACCAGCAGTCAACTGAGCAAACTTTTTGACTTTCTCCCTGATCACAGAGATTCCTCTTTCATCTGATGCATTCAACTCCAATACACGGTCTTTGTAAATGTCTGACCTGAAATGTGGAGCAACAAATATGCACTCGTCTACTATAGCTACTGGTGCACAGTATAGTAAGTTAAAGGAATTCATTTAAGATTTGGCTATTTTCACTACAGACTAATGAAAACAATAATTACCCAAATAACTGCCTAGCAATGGCAAGAATTGTTGATGTCTTTCCTGTACCAGGTGGTCCATAGAACAACAGATTTGGTAGCTGTAACAAAAAATTTCAAAGCATTTCTTAAAAACAGGCACATCTATCTGCTAAAATCAAATAATGAGAAATTGAAGGCCCTAAACTGCAGTGTTTCTTCCAGACTTTTTTCTCCGGTGTGCACTTGATATTTTCGGGGGGGGGGGGGACGGGGGGACGGACCATTTTCCGGGGCGGACACTAGTAAAAGTATAATTAGTATATGTTTTCTATATAAATTTCATTTCGTTCAGGGGGTTGGGGGGAGGGTAGGGGGTGTACAGATGCCTGGAAGAAACTCTGCAAAACTGGCTAAAGAAAACACAAAGATAAACTGCTAAGCTCACATCCGATCCTTCAAGAGACTTTTTCAGTACAGCCACAACCTCATCCTGGTATGCCACATCTTCAACATTCTTAGGTCGGCTAGAACACAGATTTTATCAAGTTAACTTGTGCTAAAACACAGCTAAGCTAAAATAATATTTTTAAAAGGTGTAATACACTAATATCTGTACTTCTTTGGTACTTGTTTAACTTCTTAAATATTAAATACCAGGTGTTATTTTTTATATATAGGTATTTCATGTATACAGTTATTATATAAAGCAACTCTAGGCCTATAAACATTTAATTTTCAAACAGATTTTTAAAAATGTAAAAGAAGAAAGAAGTGAGTCTTGATTCTTATATATTGGTTAGTTTTATTGCCACATAATTCTGTTATGGGGTCGTCCATAAATGACATCACACTCGTAGGGGGAGGGAGGGGTCCGTAATTTTGTGACGCTGTGTGATGAGGAGGGTTTTAGGCTGAGGTGTGATGTCATTTTAGGAGGGCTGTCTGGCGCTCTGTGACGATGTGTGATAGAGGGAGGGGGGAGGTAAAAATCGTCCAAAAAAAGTGTGACGTCATTTATGAATGACCCCTAATTTGTCCTCTAATCTTGAAAACTTTGTAATTGTTTACCAGTTTACCGATATAAATATTGTTCCCAAATGAGAATCTCATAAATCAATTTTTCGCTAAATCAATTTTGATTTCTGTGTTATCTGGCCTATTAACAGAAACAATGACATACTATTTTTCAATCCATGGAACTATTTTTGTTTTCCCATCCTTTGATTTTTTTGTTGACAAAGGTGTCGCAGGAGCATCTGGTTTACTTTTTGATGCTGCTGATCCACCCTTCAAAAAGGCTTGCATTATAAATTATTTCCTAGCAACACTGAAATTATAAAATATTACAGGTTAGGGTTACATTTTGATTTAGGTATTGTTATCACCCATGTAATTTGGTTGGCATAAAAATGCTGACAGGACAACACTGTCATACCATGTTTTTTTTGTCTAGCTGTCTCTTACTGTTAAGGTCAGGGTTAACATTAACTTTTGGGTCAGGTGTATTGCTGGTGAAGCAATTCTAAATAGCAGCATAACTATGGTCTTTATCATGTCCAGCCAAGATTATAATAATTTTTTTCAAGTAAAAAATATTCTTGATCTGGATCACCTAAAAGCCAATCAAAGATTTATCATACTTTATGTGAAATGCAGAAACTTAAAATTATAATTTTACTCTGAGAATACATTTTTGATTTTGCTTTTATAAGCACCTGACTTTAACTTAAATATTTTTTGGTCTATTTCTCCTTTGAAATACAAACTTTGATTAGCTATTAAATTATTTCATCAAGACCACAGATAAATGAGATTATTAATTATTTGAAATAGTAGGATATAAATCATAATTTAATGATATGATCAGGTGTTTTTTACTTTGTTAAAACAAAAACAGATTCACTTAAAAATAATTAACATTTCATTTAGGCCTAATGCATCATACTACTTCATAGTTCATTATATATATATATAATTCTCTTTTTGGAGATGATACAAAACACCAAGCTGTAAGCGCGCTCCCTACCACCCCCACCCCTACATGGTCTGGTGAGCTGTGGTTCACGCCAAATGTTTACAATCGTAGAGCCGGGTTTAGTGACGGCTATTAGGGGCAGATAATTTAATTTGAAACAATTTTAAACTTTGGGGAGGTAACTAAGAGGAGTTTACTTTCACGGGGTTGGGGAAAGGAGGGGGGGGGGGGGGTATCGTCCTTAACGAGCTGTTGATAGTGTTTTAAAGCAAATATTTTCAGTGGCAGTGTTGGTACTGTCGAATTCACAAATCATGAATTACTGAAAAGTAGAAAATAAAACAACTAAATAGCGGTGTATGATATGCAGCGGGTCGGCTCGTTATTTTAATTAGGCCTATATAATTCATTTTTGTTATTTCCATCTAGATCTAATTGATCTATATATCTATTTATATAAATATTTATATGCTTATGTTAAAAAAATTAATACAAGTTAATACAATAGTTAATAGGCCTATATAGTATAAACTAAAGTATATATCTATATACTATATACTAAATAATATATATATAATATTAATATAGGGTAAAGGAGGGCGTTAAGAGCCGTGTGGTATTAAGCCCCAATCAACACCCCACCCCCACAAAACCCCCAATTACACTGCTAATCTACTAGTGAGGTAACAACCACTGCTGTTCTTTGATAACAGAGAAACAGAGGATTCATTTTATGTAATTTATGACCCACTTGGTCCAATAGGGAGAGGATGAGACAGGATTTAATCCCACTGCTCTTTCCCTAAAATTTCTCATCTCCATAAAACCATTTTGTGAACTTTTTTTCCAAATAGACATATCTTGGGAAACTTCACTTTGTAATAAACCAAATAAGTTTTTCAAGCCCATTCTTTGTTCCTATATTAGAGCATTGGTTGTTGTACATTTTAACACTATTTTTATAGCTATGGCTAGAATAGTTTTATTTTGGTGAATTTTTTTTGCACAGTGATTATTGGTGCCAAAACAAAATGGCCGACATTTGTCCCATTTTACCATGCTATAAAGTTTTTATCATTATCAGAGTAAAACTTGACTGATCATTACCATAATGGTTTTATTTGTTAGATAATAACTAAATCTACATGAATACATTAATTTTGTCCACTAGCTTGCCTGTTTAGAAAAGTTATAACAGATACTGTTATGTGGCTCTTAAAACCCTATGTGCGAGTTTCTCATTTATTAGACCACTGAATATGACACTGGTATAGGAATAGTTAACACAAAATGTATTAATTGTTAAACAGACTTGTGTCTAAATGATAGAAATACAATTCTAACCTGCTAAAAAGTAAAAATTCAGCCATCTGATGTTAGCAATGTAATTTTTAAAATGGTACTTGTACTTATTACCCCTAAGGGGCAATACAGCCGACTCAGCCCCCACCTGTTTCTAACCAACCATAAAACTTCAAATCTCTTTGTAGGTAACAGGAATAAATGTTCTTAGGTCTCAGCCAATCTGGGGTGGTATGTTATGTAATTTATGACCCTCATGGTCCAGCAGGGAAGTAAACAGACACATTAATACCACTGCTCCCCCCTTACAATTTCTTACCCCCATGATACCCAGCCCCCACCAGTTTCTGGCCCACCATTAAACTTCATCTCTTTGTAGGTAACATGGATTACAGTTACAGATCTCAGACAATCTGGGGTGGCATGTTATGTAATATATGACCTTCATGGTCTAGCAGGGTGGAGACCAAAGAGGAATGAGTACCACTGCTCTCCCCTCACAATTTCTCACCTCCATGATAGCCAGACCCCACCTGTATCAAACCCACCATAAAACTTCATCTCTTTGTAGGTAACAGGGACTAAGTTCTTAGATCTCAGCCAACCAGAGATAGCATATCCTTATGTAATGTATGGCCCTCAGGGTCCAGCAAGGAGAAAAAAAGGGGAAACCAGTACCACTGCTCTCCCCTCACAATTTCTCACCCCCATGATACCCAGCCCCCACCTGTATCTAACCCACCATAAAACTTATCTCTTTGTAGGTAGCATGGACTTAGTTCTTAGATCTCAGCCAACCAGAGATAGCATCTCCTTATGTAATTTATGGCCCTCAGGGTCCAGCAAGGAGAACAAAGGGGAAACCAGTACCACTGCTCTCCCCTCAACATTTCTCACCTCCATGTAATGTTATGTAAAGCACACATGGCTTATCAGTGGAAAGCATTAAGGCAGATTAGTTAGTACCACCCCTTTTTACATACAAGAATGTTAACTCTGGACAGCTACACACTAGTATACTAGCTACACACTAGGCATACTAATGTGCCTACTGTAAACTACTAGACTTTAGGCCCTATGTAGTATGTACACCTGCAAATGTATCAATTGTAGACTGGGCCCATTGGGGCCTAGTGATAGCTAGTATCAGTTAAAGTGTGTGTACACAGCATTAACTATTTTGGGGTTAGAAATTAATTATTTTTATTGCAGAGTTAGTCTAAACTAGGAGATAATACTTATTGCCCCACTGCCCGGCTCCTTTCGCCCCAAATGCTGATTTTGGGGGTATGACAATAAATGTTCAATTAAACCCATTTAAAGTATATTTAATAGAATTTGTTATTATTTTTATATTGTGTAAGATATGTTAGATTAATTTTGCCATATTTTCAATACTAAAAAATTCTTAGATTAGTAGAAATCTTTAAAAATGTACAGGTGCTAAAAAGTGTGGCTCTTAACGCCCTCCTTTACCCTATATTTTAATATATTATATAGTAAAAATAGGCCTATAGAATAGATTACTATATAGTATATTACTAGTATATATTGATTATATATATCTAGTAGAATATAGATCTAGATCTACCCGGGCCTGATCTAGGCCTAATCTTTTCATAGCTCAAGGCATTGGGCTTATTAACATTTCTTTGTAATCAACTGCTGTGTGACTTTCTTTCAAATTGGTTGTTTAGTTACCTAGAATATCAAGTAAGTAGTCTAGAATCTACATAAAATAAAATCTAGGGGGGGGGGAGGGGGGGGGGTGGTATCAAAGACAACAATAACAAAAAAATTACAATTTACTCATTTGTCATTTAGCGTTTGTCAGTTGTACACTACAGTGTAGTTACGAGTAGTTAGGCCTACCTATAATATAGTAATGCGATTAATAGATCGTTAGATAGGCCTATACATTAATTAATTTGGCCGAATATAAGAATACAATTTTTATTCTATTATTAAATAAAAATTAGATCTAAATATTATACTGTCGATCAAAACAACGTAGAGTACCCTAGCCGTGTTAGGCTAGTTCGCGCGGTTTAGGACTAGCAGTAAAAAAATATTCTTTGGCCTAGCATAGGGGCCAAGATCTAGACTTTGTTCTGGTGGTCAATTAAAAACGTTCATCGGAAATTAAACTGAATCCTACACCGGAAGACAGCTGTAAGAAAAAGTAAACAAAAATTGGGTGAGGCCCAATACTTTTTTTTTCCATTTTTGCGTCTTTGCTTTGACGAAAAATAAGTATATTTATCAAATTATCATGTAGCCTGGACAAGGCGCGGTGATCGATGTCTTCTTAGTACTTAACTGGTAAATTTCTAGTTAAATAGGCCTAATTAATTAATTAGATTTAGTGATGAACTATGAAGTATGAACTTAGTTAGTATGAAGTCCTGACTCACTAAGAGTAAGACCTAAGACCTGACTAAGTTCAAGTAAAGTAAAAATAAAAAGTTTTTATCTATTACTATTTTATTTTTATATTTTACCAATTTACTACTGAATCTTACTTTATTCTTACTGCTTATAATTTATAATATTTAATTTATTTTACGAAGTGACTAGGCCTACATGGAAAAAGATTTTTCTCCCAACGTCTCAACTTAGTCGGCAAAAGATAGTTCTGCGCATGCCCAGTGCCAGTGACCTATGCCTGCCCTATGGCTAGGGTTAGGGGGTAAAACTCTATTTTAGCGTATTTTAATCTCTGCTTCTTGTTTACCTCCTGTTGAACGTATTTTATTATAATAACCGAAACACACCAAAACATTAGGAAAACAGTAACACGATTTATTTATTTGTATTGTATTTTTGTTTTAACAAATGAATAAAAAAAAACAAAGAGACTGACTTTGTTTTAGATTTTAATAATTTACTATTGTCAAAACTTGAGAAAAATCCAAATTTAGAATATTGAATGTGCTATGTAATGTTCGTGTGTCAGTTAGAATTTTCATGGCAATGGGTGAAGTACGTAAACGTAACTCACAATTGCAAGGCGGTTAAGTTTGTATTGTTACAAGTATTTCCCAAGCTAGATACTATAAATAAACATTTATGAACTTACCCCCAAACTGAGGCCAACACAATTTCAAACAGCTATTGCCCTAGCTTTTTTTTTTTATTGCCCTAGCTATGATGTATGCTGATAATTAAAGTCAATGTGAACTCACGGTGAACCCGCGACCGTGTAAGGATTTTTCTCCCGCTGACAATCACTTGATATTTAATTGGAACAGTTCAAATGCTTTTTTATGTTGTTTTTTTTTACCTTTTCTAATTAAAAATCACATTCATAAAAAAATTAGATCTAGCGTTTTCCTAACGTTTTTGTGTGTTTCAGTTGCGGTTATAATAAAATACGCTCAACTGGAGGTGAACGTGAAGCAGGGAATAAAATACGCTAAAATGGAGGTTTACCGGGTTAGGGCTAGATTAGGGTTAGAGATAGGATTTGGGCTAGGGTTAGGTATTAGAGATAGGATTCTGCGGTTGTAAACACACGCATGCGCAGTACCATCGAAAACATCGCCGCGATGGCAAGTCGTAATTTCTCTCCATTGCGCATGCGTATCTTTTTCCGGCTAGCATTGGCCTTTATTTTAATATTTAATAGTTACTGAGTATTATTTATTACTGACTAGATCTGATCTAGATCTACTAGTACTACTGACTAGAGATCTAATACTAAATATTTAAATATATGGTAATCTATCGTTTTAGGTACGTAAAATCGTCCGAGACTAGTGATGTGAAAAAAGGTGACTACTTAAATTTTAATAATTATTTCACATTTTTAGGAGGATTTATGTTTTGAAATTTTAAAAAATGTTTCAAAGTTTCATTTATGTACCTGTTTTTAAACAATTGAATTAAAACTTTTCAGTAATAAATGAAGACTAGTGATGTTTCCAACAGATGCAACTGTTACGGGTCAGTTGTAGGTTACATAGAAATAGGTTAGAATAATCTAGAATTAGGGAAAGTGCGTGTGTGAGTTGAGTATACCCTAGAGTATTGTTAACCCTGTCTATAATATTTGACACAAATATACCACAAAATATTTCTATTAAAGTTAAAGCCTTGACATTGAGGTAACTTTTTCAGACATTACTTGATAAATAAAGTAATAAACTACTTATACTTTATAACAACTAATACTACTCTTACTACTGACTCATGATTACTACTGATTTATACTGTATATTTATTAGTTACTGAGTATTATTTATTACTGATGAGATCTGGTCTAGATCTACTAGTACTACTGACTAGAGATCTAATTCTAAATACTAAATATTTAAATATACTTAATATAGGCCTATAACTATAGTATATTATGTATTATTTAATAAATATACTAGATAGGCCTAATTCAAATTAATTGAACAATTAGTTTAGTAGTAGTCATGGAGACATGACTAATTGATATTGTCATGATTTTGATACCAGTGGACTGAGAAATAAACATTTAAAATTAATATTAAATAATAATTATCTTCGGTAATCTGTCGTTCTAGGGAAATCATAATGGCTAGTAACGTGAAAGAAAGGTGACTCATTACAATTTAGTAATTATTTCACATTTTTAGGAGGATTTATGTTTTAATAGGTTACAAAAATGTTTCATCTGTTTTTATAGGCCTACTCAGTTTTATTAAACATCTTACTAATAAATAAAGATTAGTGATGTTTTCATCAGATGCAACCAAGCTAGTTTTGTTTAGCAGCCATCTTAAGTTTATTTTTTTTGTTAACTGTTAGAGATTCAAGGGAAAGCACTCAAATTTGTAGCTGGCTGCTGTTTGTATAGTCAAATGCTGCTGTTTAAAGTTAATTTCCTGCTTATAGGCCTAATTATTTATTAAGACATTGCTTTTGGTTTACTATTCAATTATCTATTACGAGGCGACCCGCTGCGTATCATACGCCGCTATTTAGTTGTTTTTTTTTCTACTTTTCAATAATTTATAATTTGTGAATTCGACAGTACCAATGCTGCCATTGAAAATATTTGCTTTAAAACACTAACCCCCCCCCCCCCCCCCTGTGAAAGCAGCCTCCTCTTAGTTACCTCCTCTAAGTTTAAAATCGTTTCAAACTCAATTATCTGCCCCTAATAGCCGTCACCAAACCCGTCTCTATGATTGTAGAATGTAAACAGAGTGAACACCGCTCACCAGATCATGTGGGGGTGGGGTGGGGGTGGTAGTGATAGTGATAGAGATAGAGAGAAAGAGAGGGGACTGCAAAGGCGCGCTTGCAGCTTGTTTTCTAACTGATCCCAGAAGAGAATTATATATATAGATATTTGATACAAATATATCAAGATATACTTGTATTAAAGCCATATTAATGAGTCATCTTTCTTTCACATTACTAGTTTTGGTCAATTTTATGTACCTAAAATGATTATCTAATCTTATCTAAAATTAGTTATAGGTTACTGATAGTTAACTGAAATGTATACACAGCTTGCTATGTATTTTGCTAATGTCAATGATAACCCTATCCTGTGATCTAGTTATTAATTATTAATACTAATAGTTTCGCTGTCTGTGTATGTATCTATCTGATCTGTGTATCTATCTATCTATCTGACAAGAACGCTATAGAGAAAACACAAGCAAATTAAAAACTTTCATAGTAAAAGGGAAACGAAATATGACGTCACATTTAGCATAGTATAAAAAAGTCTACAGCCGGAGAGTGCACACATAAATGTGACGTCATTGATTCTCGAGTAAACATTGAATTAAAAAGCCAATTTTGTCTAATCTAAGTGGTTTGCGTGAAGAGTTTCATTCATACAATTCTTCGGGTGGGGGCGAAACCCCACCCTCGCGAAAGAACATCTAAGCCGCCCCCCCCCCCCCCAACTCAAAAGAAATTTCTTCATCGATACTCTATAATAAAAATTACCGTCTAATTGTGTCTAATCTAAAAAGTGGTTTGCTTGCAGGTTCTTTCATGCAATTCTTCGGGTAGTGGCTAAGCGCGACACTAGTGTTTCTTTCAGACTTTTTCCTCCCCGGAGGGGGGGGGGGGGGCTTTTCTAATCTAAAAAGTGTTTAGCTTGCACAGTTTTTTTCATGCATCTCTTCCGGTAGGGGCGAAGCCCCGCCCAGGTTCTTCCTTTAGTTTGTATGAACTACAAATGCGACCAGTGTTTCTTTCAGACTTTTTCCTCCCCAGAGAGGAGTGGGGGTACTTGAAATTTTCAGGGGCGGGGGGTAGAATTTTCTAGGAGGGGGCGGACACTGGAAAAAGTATATAATTATATTTCGTTGAATGGGACAGTAGACATGTTGTGGGGGGGGGGGGGGGGGGCAGAGCCCCCTCCTCCCAAGTAGAGTTGCCTGAAAGAAACTCTAAATGCGACTTTTGTCATGAATGAGATTAGGTGCATGGTTTAGGGATATGCCTATGACTATATTTTGTATACATTAAAGTACCGATTCTGGATAAAAATCCGTTTTCAATGTCATTTTTGTTTCCAGTTAAATTTAACCGTTGTATCCTTCCTCAACGGGCCATGTTTCTCGTTTATTAATAGTTGGCCTAATAAATTAATCTCAATATTAATAAGTTAATAGTTAATAATAAATTAATAATGCACTTTGTTTTTTATGACAACCCACTTGTTCCCCCAGTCACTTCACTGGTGCTGATCTTTTACCAAAAAATCAAAATCAGTAATGTAGTGATAATGTGAATATATTTAATATAAAGGTAGCATCTGATGGTCTAGCATTGTCTCTTGGACGTGCCACCTTATTGGACATGGCCGATGATACTGCAGCCTTTGATCTTGATCTTGACTTGTCGCCTCACCTTGTTATCATAGAGGGGATCTTCTCTCAGAGTAGATCAATTAACCCTTATTTTATTATACTTGATAAATACAATGAAATCATTTAAAGAGCAGCTGGCTGTTCAATTACTCAAACCCAGGGGTTCCCAACCTTTTTTTACTCTAGGGTACATTCTAAAATATCGTAAGGGTGGCGGACAAACTCCTTCCAGAGGCGAATCAACCCTTCCCGTCACCTGTGGACAAAAATTTCGATTTGCACCCCCCCCCCCCCTCAAAAACTTTCGATTTCCATCCCCTTCAACCTTTCAATAATGTTGGGAACAAAAACATACATTCCTAAAATTGAAAATTTTTGCAATAACTTAATTTTTTTCCACTTAGGTTTAATTATAAAGAGGAATTTCCTATTTAATTCATGTAACATTTTAAAACATTTTTGGAATCATATTCAGTGGCAGTAAAATGTTTTTTCTATTGAAATATAGCTGGGGAAACAGCACTTAGGAGAATGGCACAGGGAGATTTTACATCCATAGACTTTCTCTCCTCTTTTAACACCAGTGATGTCATTGAAACTCAAAGAGGTTTGGAAGGTTTTTTCATATTTAAAAAAATTAATTATGCTATTTTGAAGTATATGATTAGTTGTAAAAAACATACATATTTAATACTCTTCAAAGTAATCCCTAAATACATATTTCTTATTTCTAAATTAGTAAACATTTCATTTCTTTTTCTAAAGCAAGTGATTTCTTTTAGTTTTAGTTACAGTAAAGGTTAAATGTTTACCTTTTTTACTTTCTCGTATATACGAAGTATAGAGAAAGTCTTGTAATCGTGCAAAAAAAAAAAAAATCGAGATTTTTGCAAATCTCGACGTTTTGCATCTCACTGATACGGAAAAACATAATTTTGCAATCTTGTCCGTATGTCTGTGTGTCTGTGTGTGTGTGTGTGTCCGTGTGTAAACACGATAACTTGAGTACCGTTACAGCTAGGTTGATGAAATTTCATATATAAGTATTTAATCAAAATCGTAGATCCGTATCAACTTTTGAGCGATTTCCGATAACCGGAAGTGGTACTTTTCCTACTTTGAATTTTTCAAAAGCCTATAACTTGAGTACTATTTCAGATAGATAAATGAAATTTCATACGTAAGTAAAAGATCTAATTCTCTACCTTCTATTAAATTTTGAGTCATTTCCGTTGACTGGAAGTAGTACTTTACGCTACTTCCGATTTCTCAAAAAACTAATGTAAATTTTAAAAGTAATAATAATATTGCGCACTATTATGCGCTTTTTTATTTCGCGTTCACTTGGTGTGCAATTAATTTGTCTACGAGATTTTATTCTATTTTTAAAACTTTAAGTATTTAAAATGGATTAAAAATCATGTCTATAGCCCGAGTTCCCATCCCCTGTTATTTTATATAAGAATATTCGAGAAAGTTTAGGGGAGATCACTCCCGGTTTATTTTTTAAATAATAAAAAAAAACCCATCTGAATCATGTTATTTTAAACTAAAGAACTAATATTAGAAATCCAGAATTTAAAATGATTGGGTACTGGTGGGTCTATTTAACAGACCAAATTTGAGCTGTTATTTTTCTGACATGAACTTTTGTCTAGTACAGCCTAAAAGTGAGATCTGCTTTATTTCTAACAGAGATCACTAAGAGACACTGGAAACCAGCTGAAGATAGGACCAAGTGTTTTGAAGTGAGTTGTCAGAAGGTATTCACTCTTCTGGAGCGGCACCACCACTGCAGGAGGTATGAAAACTTGTTCTACAAAGGCCTCATTTTGATATAAAACCATTTTAATTTTGTAATAATTTTGCAATAATACTATAGTTTTGTTGGTACTTAGCTATTTGATTAACTGTTGTTCTATTGTTTTGATTAAATCTTTAAAAAAAAACAAGTAGTGGGCTAATTGAAATAATTTAATTATGATCCTGTTTATTACAAAAATGTAAATCAAACAAGATACATCCATCATTTAAAATCTGAAACTGTTTGTTGTAATCTTTGTGGTGAAGTTGTCACATGAAGTCTGTACTTTAAAACAGCTGTGGAGAAGTCTTCTGTGCAGAGTGTGTCAAATACCAACGCAGGCTCAACGCGTTAGCACATGCTGACCCAGTGGGACAATTTTATAAGGTAATTTTAAGGCAAAATGGTTTAAATTTGTCGAATAAGAACTAGAGGTTATCAAACCATTCAAGTTTGGTTTTAAAAAGATGAATTAACAACTCACATTTCACCCTAGGTTCTTCTTAAAATATCTTTGATGACCAACAGGAGGTTCTTATATTGGTGTACAGTTTTGATTTTAAAAAGAATTATTAAAAAAAATATTTACTTGTCTTATTTAGGTTTAGACCTCCTGACAGGATGACAATTTTTAAACTCGTTTGTTAAGTTTGTAAAAATTCATTCTCCCTTTTTTCAGCAAAATTTATTATCTATTTATACAGGTGTGTAGAAAGTGTTTTGAGAAAGGGAAAATAACTGATGGTCAGACTAGGAGTCATAGTGTTTACTTTCATGAACTACGAGTTTATTACAAAGAGCATGGCATGGTTCACACTGGGAACTCATCAGAGTGGCGAATGAGGCTAAATTTAGACAGAGAGTGTCAGAGGTGATCTCATTACCAAATGTTAACATTTATTTTTTATTACATATTTAAAAAATGAGTTTGTCTAAACATTGGACTTTAAGTAATATTAAAAGTTAAATATAGTTGGCCAGATTTTTCGTGTGTTAATGTCAGAGGAACTCCTTTTAGTGAATGATACCATTTCATTCTGGATATTCAATTTCATTTGTTTCGAAAAGAAATCTATAGTATGTTGATTTAGACTAAACAACTCAAATTTTAAATATGTAAAAAGTTACATTCTATACACACACAAAAATTGTTATCAAAACCATGATGCAACTTGACAGCATATTTTACAGTGCATAATTTGTAAAACAAGGTAATTAAAAAGTCTAGTGACAATTTTAGCGCAATTTCCTTATGTTATCTAAAAATAGCTCTGTCGTAGCGTAAATCAAGAGCAGGGTTAGTAAAACCATTGGTTAGTTATTAAAACGTTTTTTATTAATTTTTTTCAGTATTTTACATGTTTTATTTACAATAGAGTTACATGACTAAAAACCATTGCGCGCCTACTGAACGTGATGGCGCAGCCATGGAACGCGATGGCGCAGCTATTGAACGTGATGACGCGTGTGGTGTGGTTGGAAAAAATGCCTACTAATTCTGTCCAAATTTTAATTAATTCAAAAAATTTTTTGTGACCAAACGAAAGGATATTTTTGAAAACTTTCTTCGGCAATATTGTTCTAAATTATGGCAGGAATCGATTGGTACATGTTTCAAGTCGCTAAGTGGTCTGGTTGCCGAGATATGGGCCAAAAACTGCATTTTTTCGAGGTTTTTTGGCTTTTCCGGGAAATTCATGAAAGAAACCCGTAATTTTTATGGCCTATGGTCATTCTCGTAACTTGCTTAACATAATTGCTTTTGGAACTAGTCATCGATATTTCTTCGTTGAGGAGGAGATACGACTTAAAGCCCGGACACACATTCATCCATACATTCATACATTCATCCATCCATTCCCAGAAATGACGAGTTAATAAACGCAATTCTCCAGAATGGAAATTGCGCTAAAAAATTACTTAAGTGAAATGTTTTTGGAGTTTTCTTTAAAGTAAAAAAATTACACCCCCCTCCCCTATTCTTAGATTACTCCTGGGGTTTAACCAAAGTGTTGGGAACTCTGAAGTGCAGCGAACACTACATGGGGTCAAGAGTTTTGTCACGACTCCCCAGTGGATGAAGTCCAGTGTCTGGAGTGTGAGTTTGCTAATGGGTCACTGTCGTATTTTATGGGTTATTTCCAGGTGTCATGTTTTATGGGTTATTTCCAGGTGTCATGTTTTATGGGTTATTTCTGGATGTCATGTTTTATGGGTTATTTCCAGGTGTCATGTTTTATGGGTTATTTCTGGTTGTCATGTTTACTTGGTTTTTTCTGAATGTGATGTTTAGAATCTGTGAGAAAGTTGCACCTCAAATTTTAAAAAATAAACCTGTTTTCCAGAGAGAAAATCTAGTGAAAAGCTGCCAGTATTGTAAAGAAGTATTTGGGCTGCTGAAGAAAAAAGCTTTTTGCTCTGTGTGTGGAATAGTCGTCTGCAAATCCTGTTCTTCAAATGACCTACTTGTTTACATTCCTGATGAGGACAAGGGGAGAGAAGCCAGTCAACCCAAGATGGCTGTTATTAAAATTATTGGGGTAAGAGATCCACTACACAGCTACCTGAGGGCACACACACACACACCTGTAAATAGAGACATAGGGAGCCAGTTCAGACACCCTTAGTTACATCACTGACACCCTTAGTTACATCACTGACATCCTTAGTTACATCACTGACACCCTTAGTTACATCACTGATACCCTTAGTTACACCACTGACACCCTTAGTTACACCACTGACACCCTTAGTTACACCACTGACATCCTTAGTTACATCATTGACACCCTTAGTTACATCACTGACACCCTTAGTTACATCACTGATACCCTTAGTTACACCACTGACACCCTTAGTTACACCACTGACACCATTAGTTACACCACTGACATCCTTAGTTACACCACTGACACCATTAGTTACACCACTGATACCCTTAGTTACACCACTGACATCCTTAGTTACACCACTGACACCATTAGTTACACCACTGACACCCTTAGTTACACCACTGACACCCTTAGTTACACCACTGACATCCTTAGTTACATCATTGACACCCTTAGTTACATCACTGACACCCTTAGTTACATCACTCATACCCTTAGTTACACCACTGACACCCTTAGTTACACCACTGACACCATTAGTTACACCACTGACATCCTTAGTTACACCACTGACACCATTAGTTACACCACTGACACCCTTAGTTACACCACTGACACCCTTAGTTACATCACTGACATCCTTAGTTATATCACTGACACCCTTAGTTACATCACTGACATCCTTAGTTACATCATTGACACCCTTAGTTACATCACTGACACCCTTAGTTACATCACTGACATCCTTAGTTACACCACTGACACCATTAGTTACACCACTGACACCCTTAGTTACACCACTGACACCCTTAGTTACATCACTGACATCCTTAGTTACATCACTGACACCCTTAGTTACATCACTGATACCCTTAGTTACACCACTGACACCCTTAGTTACACCACTGACACCCTTAGTTACATCATTGACACCCTTAGTTACATCACTGACACCCTTAGTTACATCACTGATACCCTTAGTTACACCACTGACACCCTTAGTTACACCACTGACACCATTAGTTACACCACTGACAGCCTTAGTTACACCACTGACACCATTAGTTACACCACTGACACCCTTAGTTACACCACTGACACCCTTAGTTACATCACTGACATCCTTAGTTACATCACTGACACCCTTAGTTACACCACTGACACCCTTAGTTACACCACTGACACCCTTAGTTACACCACTGACATCCTTAGTTACATCATTGACACCCTTAGTTACATCACTGACACCCTTAGTTACACCACTGATACCCTTAGTTACACCACTGACACCCTTAGTTACACCACTGACACCATTAGTTACATCACTGACATCCTTAGTTACACCACTGACACCATTAGTTACACCACTGACAGCATTAGTTACATCACTGACACCCTTAGTTACACCACTGACACCCTTAGTTACACCACTGACACCCTTAGTTACACCACTGACACCCTTAGTTACACCACTGACACCCTTAGTTACATCACTGACACCCTTAGTTACACCACTGACACCCTTAGTTACACCACTGACACCATTAGTTACACCACTGACACCCTTAGTTACACCACTGACACCATTAGTTACACCACTGACACCCTTAGTTACATCACTGACACCCTTAGTTACACCAATGACATCCTTAGTTACACCACTGACACCCTTAGTTACACCAATGACATCCTTAGTTACACCAATGACATCCTTAGTTACACCAATGACATCCTTAGTCACACCAATGACATCCTTAGTTACATCACTGACACTCTTAGTCACACCAATGACATCCTTAGTTACACCAATGACATCCTTAGTTACACCAATGACATCCTTAGTTACATCACTGACACCCTTAGTCACACCAATGACATCCTTAGTTACATCACTGACACCCTTAGTCACACCAATGACATCCTTAGTTACACCAATGACATCCTTAGTTACACCAATGACATCCTTAGTCACACCAATGACATCCTTAGTTACATCACTGACACGCTTAGTCACACCAATGACATCCTTAGTTACACCAATGACACCCTTAGTCACACCACTGACACCCTTAGTTACATCACTGACATCCTTAGTTACACCAATGACATCCTTAGTCACACCACTGACACCCTTAGTTACATCACTGACACGCTTAGTCACACCACTGACACCCTTAGTTACATCACTGATACCTCCACATTTTATTTTAAAAAATGAATCTATTTCTTAATGTGAATTTTTAGATACCTTTGCACAAAATGTCCTTTTCACCATTACCAACAGCTTTTAACTCAGCGAGCTAAAATTCTAGAGGAGCAGCAATCACTAAACAGTCAGCTTCATACTTCAGTAGGCTGAAATTCTAGAATGGCACCAAAGTGCTAAACTTTTCCAACCGTTAACATTGTAAATGTTGATATTAAACTCAGGATAGCTCAAAATGATTAATAAAAGGCACATGTTCATATCTTGTTTGAAACCTTTTTTTTTTCAACCAATACATTAAAGCTTAACTGTATAAAATAGTATATTTTTTGCAATGTCAAATTCATTTGTAGTAAATTTATCTAGATAGTATTTGAATAACTAGAAATTTTAAACAACCTGTCTCTGTGTTTCAGTGTCCTAATGTGTCAGTGTCCTAATGTGTCAGTGTCCTAATGTGTCAGTGTCCTAATGTGTCAGTGTCCTAATGTGTCAGTGTCCTAATGTGTCAGTGTCCTAATGTGTCAGTGTCCTAATGTGTCAGCGTCCTAATGTGTCAGTGTCCTAATGTGTCAGTGTCCTAATGTGTCAGTGTCCTAATGTGTCAGTGTCCTAATGTGTCAGTGTCCTAATGTGTCAGTGTCTTAATGTGTCAGTGTCCTAATGTGTCAGTATCTGGATGTTTTACACAGCCTGTCTCTGTGTTTCAGTGCCCCAAAGTTGAGCCAGAACTCAGTATCTACCTGCGAGTCTGCAGCAAGTGTAAGGACAAGCTGATCCTCAAGCAGGTGGACCAGCAGGAAGAAGACTCCCTGATGAACGGGCCTGACTTCATGGATGTTTTGAACAAGCTTCACGACAAATTTGTCACGGTGGAGAGTCATGTCAGGGATCAGCTCCCCAAAGTAGGTGTTCTCTCCCCCACTCTCTTAGCATGGGATGACCTACTTATGTGATAGTGTGGTGACCTATTTTTTTGTATGATAGTCAAGGTATACTTCTTGCTCTGACTGTGTCAGACTGTGTTACTATTTAACACAGATTTTTCTCCATAGCCTTGACCTACTTAAAAATGTTACAGTATGGTGTCCTACTTTGTATTGCAGCATTATGACCTACTTTACCTGTGACAATGAAATTACCTCTCTTACAGTGTAACTGATGACACCTCTCCCCCTTGCAAAGAGACATATTTTTAAACTTTCTCAAAAAATATAATTTAAGCTCAAATACTCAATTTTAATACTGCCATATATTTCCAGTATAAGGAAATAGTTGATTCATTAGCGGACAGGTCAAGGCGGTCCAGTACACACAACAACATGAAAACATTGGCCAAGGCCCAGGTATGTTTACCAGGTGTTTTTACAGAATGTTTGGCAACTAATGGTAGAACTCAGCATTGATGGCTAATTACAATTCCAATGGTGGTGATCAGATCTATATTGTCTATGATAATTGATTGAAAAGTGATTTATAAATTCTGATACATGATGACACTGAATAGTGTGTAACTGGTAGAAATTAATAATTGATTAGGTAGCTTTAATGGCTTACATATGTCAGGAGATGACAGATTATAACTTGTCATGTATATATTAATGGCTCACAGCCTAATGTCATGTTTTGTGTTTATCCCCGACATTTACAGGAAGATTTATCCCAAATGCTTGCCCAACACCTGACAACAGTCCAATACATGAAGAAACTCAAACCCTCAACAGCTACACAGTCCAAGCTCTTTCAAGTATACATTCGGGTAAGTTTGGCTGTAGGGCACTTCATTTTTTAACACCTCTTCTGCCTAAAAAACCCAAACAAAATTGCTTAGCGTACTGTTAAATATAAGCATTGTTTTTTTTTTAGTTTTTTTTTTTTTTTTTGCGCTTCCAATTCTTCGTCTTGTCTTTCAGGCCAAATGTGAGTTTTACCTGGATCACATGTCCATGTTCCGCACTGTTAAACATAAACTCAGTGAGTCGGCATCTGATGAAAGCCTAAAAGTGATTCAAAGGATTATGGATAAAAATGTAAGTTTTTTAAAAATTGAGCAATCTTAATTTTCTTTAAAACAAGTTTTTAAAAATGTATATGAAATGCATGGTTTTATATAATTAACTAATTAGTTCATTATATAATTAACTAATCAGTCACTATTAATTAACTAATCAGTCACCTCTGTGTCAACTCTGATTTGTCATTTAATTGGTTACCTTTTGTGTCATCTAATTGTTTCCTTTCTAATTGGTCACCTTTAATCGGTCACCTCTGTCATTGAATGGGTCACCTTTTGTGACATCTAATTGGTCCCCTTTAATTGGTCACCTCTGTCATTTAATGGGTCACCTTTTGTGTCATCTAATTGTTTCTAATTGGTCATCTTTTGTGTCATCTGTTACCTTTCTAATTGGTCTGCTTTAATTGGTCCCCTTTAATTGGTCCCCTTTAATTGGTCCTCTTTAATTGGTCCCCTTTAATTGGTCCCTTCTGTGTTCACCTTCAGGCCATCATCAGTACTCACCTGTACCTTCATCAACTGATCTATGAAATGATTTACCTGTGTCAAAGATACGAGCTGCAAGAAAGCCTCATCCCAGTTTTGATGCAAATTGAACAGGTATTTGTTAAACTTCACTCTAGAACAATTTGGCATGTTTACAAATTGAACAAGTATTTGTTAAACTTTGTTAATGTTTGTTCATCATGAAGAATTAAGTTTATTCTATTTCTTTACTAATTCTTATTTTCCTCCATTAAGGTTTGTCATTGCGGTTTCAAATTTTAAATATTTCTTTACCTTTAATATATTTCTGGTGTAAACTTTTCATTAAATAATTATGTTCCAGTGTGAAAAAATAATTTGAAACTATAAGAATTAATTAAAACTCTTTTATAAAAAAGTTCTGAAAAGTATTATAAAAACAAAAAACAAATTATACCTATTAGAATAAGTATATGCCAGGAACAAGCTGTTTTGAGTCTGACATTTAAAACAATGTTTCACTAAAGAAGGTAGAGACAGACGTGCAGACGTGTTTACAGGCAGAAGGGGATGATGTAACTGAACACATGAACCTGGTTCAAGAATTGACACAAGAAAGAATGAAGGTAAGCAGTGGCGTCACTAGGTTATGTGTCACCTGGTAGGGTCCGCCCCCTCTCCCAGTCTGAGCACTTGTGTGATGAGGGTGTTCAAATTTCCAAGTGCCTACTGGTTTAGCTGCATATTTAATCCAATGGGTGGTGCAGAAGTTGCTATACACAGTAGGCACACTCAGTGCAGCAGCTCTTTAAATATTTGTATACATGAAAAAATCTGCTGCCCAAGGTTTTGAACCCCTACCCAATCACACTGACTTGAACAAAAATAATGCATTCTAAAACCCTTCTAAATGCTGACATCACATCAAAATGCTGACATCACATCAAAATGCTGACATCACATCAAAATGTTGACATCACATCAAAATGTTAACATCACATCAAAATGTTGACACCACATCAAAATGTTGACATCACATCAAAATGTTGACATCACATCAAAATGTTAACATCACATCAAAATGTTGACATCACATTAAAATGTTGACATCACATTAAAATGTTGACATCACATTAAAATGTTGACATCACTATGTTGATATCATTCTTCTAATAAATTATTGTAGTTTTATTATATACAACTGGTTTGATGGCGAGTGTTGTTCCTAAACTGTTTAAGTTGTGTTAGTTTAATGCTCGAAGTTGTTGCTATGTTTCCCTATTCCAAGAAATATGCCTTTGTTCTTAAATCCAGAAAAATAAGTTGATTCGCCCCTCCAAAACTCAGCTCCAGAGAAGAGGAACAAAATATGTATATGAGCTGATGAGCTCCAGGGTGGAGAACCTACTGAACCAGGTCAAGTTCCAGCTACAGCTGGCCACCACACTTAACAGTTTCCAGGCCAGCAAGAAAGCTCTGGAAACTGGACTCGCTGAGATGAAAAAAAAGCGGGAAGAAGATATCAAGGAAACAAATGATTTTTTCTTTGTTCAAAAGGATGACTTTTCGTAGCCTTTTTTAAATTTTATAATTTGGTAGTTTTACATTGTTGCTTTACACTTTGTTGTTTTTTTTCCTGTAAAAATCTTGAATGTTAACAATGTTGATTTGTTGAAGACTTAAATATTTACAATGTTGATTTGAAGACTTAAATCTTAACATTAACAATGTTGATTGTGAATGTTAGTAATCTATTGATTTGAAGACTTGAACTATAATAATGTTGAGTTTGAGCATTTGAATGATAACCAATTTTATTTTAAAAACATTATTATCAACATCATTAATATTGAAATATTAATTAATAATGTAAAATCTGAAGACTTGAATGTTAAATATAATAAATATGTTGATTTTCAACCAGGTCATAAATGAAGTTGAACAAAATAAACATCTACTTATTCCAGTGATTTTTCATGTCTCAAGCCCTACAACTTACATTTTGATACTGAATGTTTTTTATAAGAACAAAATATTTTTGTTTTAAATTAATATAAGCTTCTTAACCATTAATGTCCCGTAACGCCCGCTGCCGCCCGACACCGTTAATGTCCCGTAACGCCCGCTGCCGCCCGCTTACAATACGCATAGAAAAATTAAATTTGTTTCATTAAAATTTGGCCTACAAATCCTAATTTTTAATTAAACAGGAAGTTTGATAGTTTCAGCATCCTTTTCCGGTCTTCTAATTTCAATGGCGCGTTTGAAAGATAAAAAAATAATAGTTTCTTTCTATCTCGAAATTTTAGACTCATCTGTCCTATTTTTAGTACATTTAATATTAAAAATAAAATAAAATAATGCATCTAAACGTATCTAGGCATCTATTTTATGAATTATATATCTTAAACATTACCAAATTGATATTTAACTGTTAAATTCGATGCATAGTTGTTTAGACAAAAATAAATAAAGTTGACTACCGAAAATGACCTGTTTTGAATTTTCTCCGACATTTTTTATTTTTATACTGTACTTTTACCGAATATAATATATTCTATTGAATACTGTTGGAAAGCCAGGTTTATTCCCAACATTAAGCAGTAGTTTTTATCTTAGTTTTCAATTTCATTTAGACAAAAACAAATATTTTGTGAAACTATTCACTTGATCATACAGAGTTATGCTCCTTACATTGGGCCGTCATGGGTGGAGTTTTGGTAGAATGAATGGGACATTAATGGTTAAGCTATTAAAATAACTGACTTGAAATCTTTAGACCCACTTATAATGTCTGAAAAATGTATCATTGAAAATTGGGATTGTAAGAAAAGTGATCTTCCCTACTTAAAGAGCTACTGAAGGCTACTCTGTATTAACATTTTGTTTACAGAACCAACTTCATTTTATCATTCCGGGAATAAGGCAAACGCTTCCCAGTATTCTTGTTTTAGTTTTTCTAAAAATGTTTATAAACAGCAGCTAGAGTTGTTAAGAATGGAAATATGCAATTGTTGAACTTGTTAAAAAACTTTGATACTTAAAATATTCTTTCCAATATATTTTTTTTATAAACTTTAACAATTTTAACTTATTATGTGATATATATATATATTATGTTGATATGAATTTGAAAAGTATTTTTGATACATATTTTAAAAGTTTTTTATATATTATTTAATTAAAAAGGACACTTCAAAATTGATGTGGAGCTCAGTTGTCATAGTGGGATGGCATGATCTGGTGGAAGAGTGCAGGCCTGCTGACCCAAAAGTCTGGAGTTTGAATCCTTGACTCAAGTCCATATGATGTCCTTGAGTTCACCCAGCTCTAATGGGTACCTGACTCATGTTAGGGAAAGTAAAGGTTGCTGGATGTAGTACTGGCCCCACTATCCCTTCATTTGATGAGGTCATGGAAACAGGTGAACTCTGACTCGCAGGTCACAAATGGTATCTTTATTTTTTATCTAACTCAGTGTGATCGTATGTCACACTGACATGTTGTGAAAGTATTGTGATGTCATAGGCCTAAAATAAGGTCATGAATTTAATTGAGGTCATGCTAGGCCAGGATGAGGTCGAGAAATATAATGAGGTCATTAGACTATGAATGAGGCCAAGTTAGGTGAAGAATGAGGCCGTGAATTGTATTCAGGTCTGTTAGGTGATGCAAATACATCAGGACATCATTTTTTAACATTGTAACACAACAGAAGAGAAATAGTGACTATTAGGAATTTAACTAAAAGAAATGAACCTGCAAATAAACTGTAACTATCTTGTGGGAGTATGTACCTAACATTCCATTGGTGCACAATTTCTTATTGCCAAGATTTCAGATGTATATAACATGATTGGTTCCATTATTCCAATTTTTGTTATGCTTAAAGAGGTTAAAACTTATTGACTTGCAACCGGTGATTTAACTAAATGGTTTGTTGAATATTCTAAATAAAAAAGGCTTTTTTTAAACAGAAATATCCATTGTTTTCTTTTCAGATCAGTAGCTTAGAATTTAAAATATAGCAAGTAGTCCACACAATAGCCATTGTATAATTGTTATGGGTATGCTTTGTTAGGCTACGGCTATGTTTGTTTCTCTGAATGTGCGCTTTGTTTCAGGCCTATGTTTGACTTGATAGATTTGTATACTTTGTGATAAATTTATTGAATTATTATGTCATCTTTTCTTATATACTAAAGTGTTAGTTTGAATAAGATTCTTAACAGGTAGAAGCAAAATGACCAAAGACATTTCTGCTTTGGTCAAGCTTTAGACAAAAGACATTTCACTTTGGTCAAGCTTTAGACACAAGACTTCCTGCTTACATAATTTCAAAAATGTACAGTTTGTTTTCTGAAAACATACCTTTTGCTTTCATTATTGAAAAACTTCATGGCATAACGTTGTGCCAATAAACTTTTTACAACCAAAATAACCAGAGTTTCTTCCAGGCATCTTGGGAGGGGGGGGGGGAGACAGAGACCCCCCCCCCCCCCGAAGAAAGTCTACCCCTCCCCCCCCCCCCCCGAAAAATGTTGACAGCCCTCCCCCCCCGCAAAAAAATCAAGTGCCCCACCCCCCGGAAGAAACACTGAAGATAACAGACGTCTAATACCTGTAGACAGACGTTCAACATCCAACACCAGAAGACAGACGTCCAACATACCAAAGACAGACATCCAACACAGTGTTTCAGTCTTTTTTTCTCCGGGGGGGGGGGGGCGTACACTGGTAAAAGTATAGGTTTTCGTTTTCTATATAAATTCCATTTTGATCTAACACCTGAAGACAGGCGTCCAACATATCAGAAGACAGACGTCCAATTTATCTGAAGACAGACATCCAACACAGCAGATGATAGACGTCAAACACACCAGAAGACGTCCAATTGATCTGAAGACAGATGTTCAACAAATCCGATCTAGAAGACATGTTTGGCATATGATTGATTTTGATCACGATAAACAGACGTTGAAGTTAAATTGCACTTCTCTAAAATTTTGACAGTTAACTATCTCAAACGATCTTGCATTTTATACAGAGCTTATTTGGAATCAGAGACTCTCGTGACGAAAATTCTAGTTCTTTGTGTTCAGTCATTGTTTTTCTTACAAACGGCCTTCATAAACGCTTGAAGGTCGATTATAAACGTCATGATTTCGGGGGGGGGGGGGGGGGGGGGGGGTTCGGACCTAGTGACGACAAACTTGTGCATTTATAGTTAAAGAATTGTTTTAATGCTTTTCTAAATATTGGGATGAGGTCAGGACTAAGCTCCATAGCCCTCCTGATCAGCCGAAGTTTATTACGATGCACAGCCTAATTAAGATACCGTTATTTTATGCAGCAATCATGCAGTTCCGCAGGCTTACATACAAAGGTACATAAAGAATCATTATACGAGGATATTTTTTGTAAAAATATTAGATTGAAATAGATTTGTTAACGGTTGACTTCTTTTAAAAATTGACTATGGGATTGCAGCGGCCTGCCAAATTCATAATTAGTATTAAAATAGTGTGGCATCAGCATGATATTGTAATTTATATGATTATAAAAACTGGATAGTGTTTTCGGCGAATTCATTACAGATAAGAGGCAGCCTATTTGTAGATTCTAGATATTAATATTTTCGGTAACTAATTAAAATTTGATAGAAAAAGTTAAAACATTTTTTTTCTCGACAACAAACAAGCCATGACTATCTTGCCGATATTATAGCCTGTGGAATGCGCGCAAAGTAATGTAACGGTTTTTAATTTTAAATAAGAAATTGTTTAACAGCACCGTCTTTCGGTGCGTTAATGAAGTCAAATGCCATAGAACACATTATTTAATATTTACCGAGGGGGAGATGTCGAAGTGGGTATAGAATCTAGGCCTAAAACGAAAATATTTTTTCCAACCTTGGGGAGGGGGGAATACCTGTTACATCTCGTCCCTGATATCTCGGATATTTTATATGCATTTTATACTTAAATAGACGAGATGATAAGATGCATTTTAATTTGAAAAAAAAAGATGAAAGTAAGCATTTGAGGATCTATATTGAAAATAATAAATAGGGCTTTTAAAATAATTTTGCATAATATTTAAGCACATTGACATTGTTTAATTTATAATTGAAAACGACATAACGGACGTATCTTAAAAGTTTCTGTTAAGCTGTTGTGTGTATCATTGTGTACAGTGTACGAGAGTTATGGATTAATCAACTCAATATTCCGTCAAAATAAATCATAAAATTGCTTTTTGTCTAAAAAGCGCTTTTGTACGCGGATATTATTAAGTTTTATTTTAGGCCTACACCGATCCCACAATCACATACCCAGGAAATGACCTTCTGTTGTTGGTATTAATCCGCCGTGTTTATTTTATTAACAGTTAGAGATGGTTCATGTATCAAACAAATTGGTTTTATTTATTTTTTAAAATAGTTACAAAGAAATACTTTGAAATTTTGAATAGCTGGATTATAGCAAGCTTAAATTTCAAAACAAGAAGGTGTTTTTATCGACCTAGTTTATATGTAGTATTGTTATTAGGTCAATAATGTGTGGTTTATACTCGCCCTAAGCGACTGGCAGTACATCTATTCTAAGATCCCGAATTACAGACGATAGTGTTCTTTGTCGATACGAAAGTCATGAATAACATAAACAAACCAGCGATTTTTGGCCTAACATGATACATCAAAAATATCCTGACAGTTCACACCTGTGTACTGCAATCTTTTATTGAATATATAATTCTAAATACGGTAAAGTTTTCACATAAATATCGGCATTCAAACATACGATTACGTACGTGATACTGACAGAATCTGAGATTCTGAGGCAATGATTCATAAATCTACAAACTAGGTCTAACTAAATTCTACATTACAAGCAACATCAAAACATTGAGTTGCTTGTTTATTAAAATAAGTTAATAACAATATCACAATTACATTCGCATAATACTAGATCTAGTTCTTATTAGATAATCTTAGTGTTAGACCTTCTTTTAACTTTGTTTACAGTTTTATACTTTTAACTTTACAGTACAGCTTACAACTTAGATCTAGATTTCTAGCTCTACAATCTAGATCTATATTTCTTTGCTTTTGTTTGGCTTTTATTATCATTTAATTTTCCTTTTAAAGTAAAAAAATTATAAATAATCTTATTCATCTGTTCTAGAGTTACCAAAAAAAAATAGCAAAACCATGTCTTCAATGGGTTCCAGAGCACCAAACAGGCGAGACACAAAAATGAGAATTAGAGCATTCCCAGTAAGTAATGTTTAGAACCAGATTAAAATAATTGAAGTGTTGCAATTATTTTATTAATTTATGTATATGTTAAATAGTATGCAATAAAGTAAATAAACTGGCGGGCACTGCTGATTTCTTAGAAGTAAAGTGTTTAGCATAACATTCTCTGAATGATTAAACCTGGTGATATATAATAAAGCTAGTTTTTACCTTGAACTATTTATAGTCCTACGAGCAAAGAGAGAGACTATATGACTATTTGACCATAACACTTTCAATCAGTTGACCATTTGGCATACTTATAACTAGAGTTTTGATTCACTGCTTTCTTAAACTTAACTAGGAAGTATTTACATGGGATTTAACCAAACTAAAAACTGAAACTTAAATACTTTTTAAGTTATTTATATAGGCCTATAGTTTGATAGTGTAATAAATGAGCACTACATGGTTTTCAGAAAATGAAGGTTGAATAGTATATATTAATTACAGTAAGATTATTTTTTAAAAATAGCAGTAAGAAATAAAAGCAAAAATAAATCATTTCTTTGTATTTAAGAAAAACAACTCATTTTAATATTTATTTCAGATGACTATGGATGAGAAGTATGTAAACAACATTTGGTCATTATTGAAAAATGCCATTCAGGAAATTCAGAAAAAAAATAACAGTGGTCTTAGCTTTGAGGAACTTTATCGCAATGCCTACACAATGGTTCTTCATAAACATGGGGAAAAATTGTATACAGGTCTTCGAGATGTTGTCACAGATCACCTTATTGGCAAGGTAATCTTGCTAGTCTATATATATAATTCTCTTCATGGAGACCATAGAAAACACCACACAGCTTAGCCACCACCCCAACCCCCACCAATCTGGTGAGCTTTGGTGACAGCTATTAGGGGCAGATAATTTAGTATTAAACAATTTGAAACCAAGGGGAGGTAACAATTTCTGATAGGTCTTTTTATTGTCTGTAAACGGCTGCTTTCACTGGGGGGGGGGGGGGGTGCATTCACAAATTATGAATTGATGATGAGCAGAAAATAAAACAACTAGATGGCGGCGTATGGTATGTCATGGGTCAGCTCGTATACTTTAAAAAGTTTATATAAAATTAAAACCATGTTAATTATCTATATCAGTCTACTAGAAAGAAATTTAGACCTAGATAACATTACAAACTTTGAAACAATATTTTGTGTAGCTTCTTGTTTGTGGTTTAATTTTGAATCTTCCTGATAAACCAAAAATATTTAACAACAATAACAATTTTGTTTCTTTTTAAGGTTCGAGAGGATGTTTTACAAGCACTAAATAACAACTTTCTTCAGACCCTAAATGCAGCTTGGAATGACCATCAAACATCCATGGTCATGATCAGAGATATCTTAATGTACATGGTGGGTTGATTTCTACTATTTTTGGACAGTAGTGTCACAGGTAGTTGATGTAAATGGCTTAATGATTGTTGAATCTGTTAAACTACATGACAAATAGACTACACAATGTTTCACTTACAGGACCGAGTATATGTACAACAAAACAACGTTGAAAATGTTTATAATTTGGGTCTGATCATCTTTCGGGACCAAGTAGTTCGGCACCCTTCTATTAGAGATCATCTCCGTTCTACATTGTTAGAAATGGTTGCAAAGGAACGCAAAGGAGAAGTTGTTGATAGGTAAAAACATAACATTTTTTCTTTCATGTGTAATTTATTGGGTGCTGTGTAGGATTAAAGAATGGATCAAGTAACTTGTGGATGGTAAATGTAAAAGCAAAGGTACTGATATCAATCAAAGTGAATTTAAGCGGATACAATATAAAAAATATCTACTTTAAGGGGAGCTGTTAAAAACGCTTGTCAGATGTTAATGGTACTTGGCATTGACTCAAGGGGAGTGTACGAAGAGGACTTTGAGCAGCCTTTCCTCGATCAGTCTGCAGATTTTTATAGGGTTAGTTCTTTTATACTGCAGTTGGTTTTTTTTAAAAATAGAATTAATGTTGATACTATAGATACGGGTTTTGTAAACACCAAACTTTATTCCTGGACTTTTTTGCTTTTATGGTTTGCATAATTAGGAGAGCTACATATTTGTAAAGTTGACTGTGATTTGTAAACAGTGGATAAAGTTGACAATGTATTTCTCAGCTGGAGAGCCAGAAATTTTTAGCAGAAAACTCTGCCTCTGTTTACATCAAGAAAGTTGAAGCCCGAATCAATGAAGAAGCTGAAAGAGCTAAGCATTATCTGGACAAAACTACAGAGGAACCCGTTGTCAAAGTAAGTATGACTTTAGTAAACATGATCCATGAGGGTGAGAAAGATTGCTTGTATCAGTATTGTAATGGTTTTCTGATTACAATTGGTTAAAGGACACTTACAATCTGGGTAATGGAAAGTTTAAAAAAAATAAAGCTTAGGCTGGCTGTGTTAGGAACGCTACCAAGATGAAATTCAAAATGTCTTTTTAGTACTTAAAAACTTTCAAGTTATTTTATACTGCAATGTCACTTTTGAAAACAGCTTATGATGTGCACCAACAAAAGATTCTTGATGTGCCAACTATAAACAAAAGTCTGAAGTACTGATTTTACCTTTATTATATGAGAACATATTTGTATTACAGGTTCTTGAAACAGAACTTATAAGTAAACACATGAAAACTATTGTAGAGGTAGGTTGAACTATATAGTGTCATATGTCTAGATAAGTTTTATTACATTTATATAGTATTAAAATTAAAATCTATATATATAATTCTCTTCTGGGAGTCGCTAGAAAACAAGCTGCAAACGCGCTCCCTACCTCCCCACCCCTACATGGTTTTAGTGAGCTGTGTTCACTCTAAATGTTTACAAGCAGAGCCAACGATTTTAAACGTAGGGGGGTGGAAGGAAGGGGGGGGGGGGTATGGCCCTTAACGAGCTACTTATAGTGTTTTAAAGAAATATTTTCAGTGGCAGCGTTGGTACTGTCGAATTCACAAATTATGAATTACTGAAAAGTAGAAAAAAACAACAACTAAATAGCGGCGTATGTTATGCCGCTGGCCGGCTCGTAGCTCTATATTACTGCTCAAACAAATTTTTGTGCAGTTTTAAAGGTTTTATAGAATAATTCTTTTATTTTCATTACTATTGATATACGAGATAAATGGCCCATTGAAGGAGAGATACAACAAGCGCTAGGTTGATAGTGTTGTCTATTTTCTCTAAACTTAAACCAAAACAAAAATCACCACCTTAATTCAATTTAACCGGAAACGAAAAATGACATTGAAAATGGATTTTTATCCAGAATCCTTACTTTAATCGGATTTAAGCTTAATCTCCACGTAGTTACTGCATATTGATACTAAATATAGTTGTAGCCATACTGCTAAACCTTGCAACTAGTCTCAATCATGACAAAAATCTCATTTAGAGTTTCTTTTATGCAACTAACTTGCCGCCCCCCCCCCCCCCCTCAAAGCACATCTACCGTCACCTGTCAGAAAATTTAGTCCACATGCACCCCCAAAAATTTCAAGTAATTTAAAGTAAAATTTCCAGTGTCCGCCCCTCCCAGAAAATTCCACCCCGCCCCCAAAAATTTTAAGTACCCCCACCCCTCTCCGGGAAGGAAAAAGTCTGAAAGAAACACTGATCGTATTTGTTGATCATACAGACTAAAGGTAGAGCCTACTTCTATAATTTAGACCTCGTTTCCTACTTTTGGCCGATAAACCTCACTCTCGCAGACAGTGTTTCTTTCAGATATTTTTTTTCTGCGGGTGGGGCACTTGAATTTTTGCAGAGGCGAATAAAATTATCCAGGGCGGGAGAGCTAGACACTGGTAAAAGTATAATATATTTTCTATATAAATTATATTTCGTTTTTTTAGGGAGAGGGATAAGACTTTCTACCGGGGTGGGTGGGTTAAATGGGCTTCGCCCCTACCTGAAGAGATAGATGGAAGAAACTCTGCAAGCAAACCACTTTTTAGATTAGATACATGAATTAGGCGGTAATTTTATTATAGAGTATCGATGACGACTTTTCTTTTGGGGGGGGGGGGGGGGGGCTTTGCAAAGCCCCTACCCGAAGAATTGTATGAAAGAAACTCTTCAAGCTAACCACTTTTAAGATTAGTCAAAATTGGCTTTTTAATTCAATGTTTACTCGAGAATCAATGACGTCATACTATTCTGTGCACTTTCCCGGCTTGAGAGAATTTTCTACTATATGCTCCATCTGACGATACGTTTCGTTTTTCGAATTACTATGCATGTTTTTACTTGGCTTGTGTTTTCTCTATAGCGTCCTTGTCAGATAGATACATAGGTAGACAGATACACAGACAGACAACGAAACTATTATTATAGATTGTTTGTCATCCATGATTCTACCAATTGCTTTAAATTAGTGTGCCTGGTACTGATTATATTTCTGGTTTCTAATGCTTAAACTATAGAAAATCTTTTTTTTTTCTAGATGGAAAATTCTGGTGTGGTTCATATGCTGGAAAATAATAAAACTGAAGGTAAATTACGATCTTGACTTATTTTTGTAATAAGAAAAATTTGGTAGGAACCACTTTGTTCCTATGTTTTAGTCTAGAGATTTGATTGTACTTTTTAAACTTTTCAGATCTTGCTTGTATGTATAAACTGTTTATCAGAGTAGCCAATGGGTTGAAGACTATGAGTGACTGTATTAGTAAATATCTGCGGGAACAGGGCAGGGCTCTAGTCAGTGAAGAGGGAGAGGAGAGCAAAAATGCAATAACTTACGTGCAGGTAGGGACTGCTACTGATAGATGTGTGTGTGTGCAGGAGTTACTTTAATAATCAGTTATTACCACTTTTTTATCATACCTAATTTATTATTAACGTAGGTTTATCGTGTTATAAAAATTACTTTCAGAATCTTCTGGATCTCAAGGATCGCTTCGGCCATTTCCTCCATGAATCTTTCAGTGATGACAAGCTGTTTAAACAGATGATCTCAGGGGACTTTGAATATTTCATTAACCTGAATCCCAAATCTCCAGAATACCTCTCACTTTTCGTTGATGACAAGCTTAAAAAAGGTGTCAAAGGGGTAAGGTCTTTTACATCTCATTAGCCATGAAATATTCAACTGAATTTTATTTTAGGTATTCAAATGGCTTTGTTGTGGGTTGATTGTTTGGAAATTTCAGTGTATCAAATCTTGAATTGTGGCATATTTGAAACATTTTTTTGCAGATGACAGAGCAAGAAATAGAAAATGTCTTAGATAAAAGCATGGTTCTGTTTCGTTATCTTCAAGAAAAAGATGTTTTTGAGCGCTACTACAAGCAGCATTTGGCTAGGAGACTTTTGCTGAACAAGAGTGGCTCTGATGACTCAGAGAAGAACATGATCTCTAAGCTGAAGGTTGGTGCTTCACTTAGTCAGGTGTTGTTTAGCTAATTATCAATGATTTGAGCTGTTCTTGTCAATTGTTGCCATTGTTTATCAAAGTTTGAGCTGATCTTTTGACTTGCCATTGTTTCTAGCCCTCATTGTTTCAAATCTTTAGACTGAATGTGGTTGCCAGTTCACTTCCAAGCTGGAAGGTATGTTTAAGGATATGGCATTATCCAGCACGTTACAAGAAGACTTCAAGACCTACTGTAACACAACTAATAGGGTGCCTCTCTTTGGTGTTGATCTTACTGTTAGGGTCTTAACCACGGGCTACTGGCCCACACAAACAGCTACGCCAATCAATATACCCGCTGAGCCTAGGGCAGCATTTGAAGCTTTTAGAGTGTAAGTGAAATGTGTTAACTATAGATTTTAATCTATTTATTGAATGCTAACCTCCTGTTGTGACTATTGATGTGTCTGATGTGTGTTTACTATAGTGAGTTGTTGAATGCTAACCTCTGTTGTGACTATCGATGTGTCTGATGTGTGTTAACTATAGTGAGTTGTTGAATGCTAACCTCCTGTCGATGTGTCTGATGTGAAAACATATTTCCCCAGTTTTTACCTCAGTAAACACAGTGGCCGCCAGTTGTCCTTACAGCCACATTTAGGATCAGCTGATCTGCATGCCAGCTTTGCTGGAGCAAAGCGTGATGAGACAGACAGTGGTCCTGCCAGCTCAGCCAAGGGAATAAGAAAGCATATCCTGCAGGTCTCCACGTATCAGATGTGTGTGCTTGTTCTTTTTAACATTAAAGAGAAATGGACTTTTGAAGTGAGTGCTGGCTTATCTGCCTGAATATTTTTTTATAGCTCAAGTTATTTGTTTGTTCCTTTTTTTATGTTTAGGGGGAAGACTACTTAATTGAAACATTATTTTGTTTAGAGGTTTTAAAATATATTTAATTATTGACCTGAAGCACCCTATTAAAAAGCCAAAATTTGATCCACAGGAAATAAAGAACGAGACTGATATGCCAGAAAGAGAACTGACAAGAGCATTGCAGTCTTTAGCTGTTGGTAAAATAGGACAAAGGGTTTTGCAGAAAGAGCCAAAAACTAAAGATATAGGTACATTTAATTTCTATGGCTGAAATTTTAAACTAATGTTCTCTCAGGTGTAGAAATGTAAAAAAAAAAACTCTTTAAAGGGAAGGGGTGTCGGACTTTTGTGACAACTGGAAAGGGTGGGATTTGAGAACGTATATTGTCAAACCTGCATTTTGAAACTAATTGTAAAACTAAAGTTTATCAGTTATTTCACATTTTCGAGACCGAAAATTGTAAAAGAAAGTATCTGTTTAGTTAATATTGAAACAGTTATTACTTTTGATAAACACTGCAATTTAGTGGTGGGTGTGGGAAGACAAAGCATGATATGATTTATGAACAACACCTCTAACATTTGGATGCCATTTGGGTTAAGTATAGTATATCTGAACAATCATCTCAACTTTTACCATATTGGCTCATCATTTAAAATAACAGTTTTCATATTTTGACATTTCCACACCAGTTTGAATTAAATGACTTGTTAGCTGCCTAATCTGAATTCTGCTCTCACTGCAGTTAAAAGATGAAAGTTTCACCCGTCTTCATTTTTTGTTTCAGAGGCAACACATACTTTTACAGTCAATGATCAATTCTCCTCGAAGCTCGTCCGTGTGAAAATCCAAATGGGTGAGAGTTCACATGGTTTCCTACTCACTCTTTTTACAACAACTCACTCATTAACTCACATGTAGGAGTGGTTTGTTACTGACTTACTCTCACTTCTTGGAAATAACTTATGGGGCGGGACCATCAAGCTGTTAGTTCTTGGGTCAACACTTGGATATAACTGATGGGGCATGACCATCAAACTGTTAGTTCTTGGGTCAACACTTGGATATAACTTATAGGGCGGGACCATCAAACTGTTAGTTCTTTGGTCAACACTTGGAAATAATAGATGGGACCATCAAGCTGTTAGTTCGTGGGTCAACACTTGGATATAATAGATGGGACCATCAAGCTGTTAGTTCTTGGGTCAACACTTGGATATAATAGATGGGACCATCAAGCTGTTAGTTCTTGGGTCAACACTTGGATATAATAGATGGGACCATCAAACTGCTAGTTCTTGGGTCAACACTTGGATATAATAGATGGGACCATCAAGCTGTTAGTTCTATGGTCAACACTTGGATATAATAGATGGGACCATCAAACTGTTAGTTCTTGGGTCAACACTTGGATATAATAGATGGGACCATCAAACTGCTAGTTCTATGGTCAACACTTGGATATAATAGATGGGACCATCAAGCTGTTAGTTCTATGGTCAACACTTGGATATAATAGATGGGACCATCAAACTGTTAGTTCTTGGGTCAACACTTGGATATAATAGATGGGACCATCAAACTGCTAGTTCTTGGGTCAACACTTGGATACAACTTATGGGGCGGGACCATCAAGCTGTTAGTTCTTGGGTCAACACTTGGGAATAATAGATGGGACCAACAAACTGTTAGTTCTTGGGTCAACACTTGGGAATAATAGATGGGACCATCAAGCTGTTAGTTCTATGGTCAACACTTGGATATAATAGATGGGACCATCAAGCTGTTAGTTCTTGGGTCAACACTTGGATATAATAGATGGGAGCATCAAGCTGTTAGTTCTATGGTCAACACTTGGATATAATAGATGGGACCATCAAACTGTTAGTTCTTGGGTCAACACTTGGATATAATAGATGGGACCATCAAACTGCTAGTTCTTGGGTCAACACTTGGATACAACTTATGGGGCGGGACCATCAAGCTGTTAGTTCTTGGGTCAACACTTGGGAATAATAGATGGGACCAACAAACTGTTAGTTCTTGGGTCAACACTTGGGAATAATAGATGGGACCATCAAGCTGTTAGTTCTTGGGTCAACACTTGGATATAATAGATGGGACCATCAAGCTGTTAGTTCTTGGGTCAACACTTGGATATAATAGATGGGAGCATCAAGCTGTTAGTTCTTGGGTCAACACTTGGATACAACTTATGGGGCGGGACCATCGAACTGCTAGTTCTTGGGTCAACACTTGGATATAACTTATGGGGCGGGACCATCAAACTGTTAGTTCTTTGGTCAACACTTGGGAATAATAGATGGGACCATCAAGCTGTTAGTTCTTGGGTCAACACTTGGATATAATAGATGGGACCAACAAACTGTTAGTTCTTGGGTCAACTCTTGGATATAATAGATGGGACCATCAAGCTGTTAGTTCTATGGTCAACACTTGGATATAATAGATGGGACCATCAAACTGCTAGTTCTTGGGTCAACACTTGGATATAATAGATGGGACCATCAAACTGTTAGTTCTTGGGTCAACACTTGGAAATAATAGATGGGACCGACAAACTGTTATGTTTTAAGGCCAACATTTTTAATGCCATCAGGCAATAATTGCAAAGCATGAAATAGTACTTTCACAGTGTGCTATTAGTTCATCTTTAAATTGCTCTTAGAATGACAGTAGTATTGAAATAACAAAATGGGTAGGTCCAAGTTGTGATGATTATTGCTGAGGTGGCTTTTTTGTTGTGATATTTTTTGTGTGATTTTAGTGTATGATGTGTTATTATTATTACAGTGAAATTTGTTAACCCTTTGTCAATATTTCCAGTGGCCTCCAACAAAGGTGAAGCAGAGCCTGAGAGAAGAGAAACAAGGAATAAAGTAGATGAGGACAGGAAACATGAGTATCCTTTCAGTCTCTGGTCTGCTTGTTTAGGGTGGGAATCATAGACTCTTGTTAGACTGGTGGGAATCATAGTCTCTATTCTTGTTAGACTGGTGGGAATCATTGACCATTATACTGGCGTTGTGGGAATCATTGACTTTACTCTTGTTAGACTGATGAGAATCATTGACTTTACTCTTGTTGGGGTTGTGGGAGTCATTGACTTTACTCTTGTTGGGGTTGTGGGAATCATTGACTTTACTCTTGTTGGTGTTGTGGGAGTCATTGACTTTACTCTTGTTGGGGTTGTGGGAATCATTGACTTTACTCTTGTTAAGGTTGTGGGAATCATTGACTTTACTCTTATTGGTGTTGTGGGAGTCATTGACTTTACTCTTGTTAAGGTTGTGGGAATCATTGACTTTACTCTTGTTGGTGTTGTGGGAGTCATTGACTTTACTCTTGTTAAGGTTGTGGGAATCATTGACTTTACTCTTGTTGGTGTTGTGGGAGTCATTGACTTTACTCTTGTTAAGGTTGTGGGAATCATTGACTTTACTCTTGTTGGTGTTGTGGGAGTCATTGACTTTACTCTTGTTGGGGTTGTGGGAATCATTGACTTTACTCTTGTTGGTGTTGTGGGAGTCATTGACTTTACTCTTGTTGGGGTTGTGGGAATCATTGACTTTACTCTTGTTGGTGTTGTGGGAGTCATTGACTTTACTCTTGTTGGTGTTGTGGGAATCATTGACTTTTCTCTTGTTAGACTGGTGGGAATCATTGACTTTACTCTTGTTGGGGTTGTGGGAATCATTGACTTTACTCTTGTTAGACTGGTGGGAATCATTGACTTTACTCTTGTTGGGGTTGTGGGAATCATTGACTTTACTCTTGTTGGTGTTGTGGGAATCATTGACTTAACTCTTGTTGATGTTGTGGGAGTCATTGACTTTACTCTTGTTAAGGTTGTGGGAATCATTGACTTTACTCTTATTGGTGTTGTGGGAGTCATTGACTTTACTCTTGTTAAGGTTGTGGGAATCATTGACTTTACTCTTGTTGGTGTTGTGGGAGTCATTGACTTTACTCTTGTTGGGGTTGTGGGAATCATTGACTTTACTCTTGTTGGTGTTGTGGGAGTCATTGACTTTACTCTTGTTAAGGTTGTGGGAATCATTGACTTTACTCTTGTTGGTGTTGTGGGAGTCATTGACTTTACTCTTGTTGGGGTTGTGGGAATCATTGACTTTACTCTTGTTGGTGTTGTGGGAGTCATTGACTTTACTCTTGTTGGGGTTGTGGGAATCATTGACTTTACTCTTGTTGGTGTTGTGGGAGTCATTGACTTTACTCTTGTTGGTGTTGTGGGAATCATTGACTTTTCTCTTGTTAGACTGGTGGGAATCATTGACTTTACTCTTGTTGGGGTTGTGGGAATCATTGACTTTACTCTTGTTAGACTGGTGGGAATCATTGACTTTACTCTTGTTGGGGTTGTGGGAATCATTGACTTTACTCTTGTTGGTGTTGTGGGAATCATTGACTTAACTCTTGTTGATGTTGTGGGAGTCATTGACTTTACTCTTGTTAAGGTTGTGGGAATCATTGACTTTACTCTTGTTGGGGTTGTGGGAGTCATTGACTTTACTCTTGTTGGGGTTGTGGGAGTCATTGACTTTACTCTTGTTGGGTTTGTGGGAATCATTGACTTTACAGAATGGTTTATGTTTAATTATGTGAGATAAATTTTTAATTATATAATTTTGTTGTGGTCCCTTAACATGAATCAGGATTGAGGCAGCTCTTGTAAGAATAATGAAGGCTCGGAAGAAGCTTCAGCACAACTCTTTAGTGGCTGAGGTAGGTCATTTAAACAGGGTATTGTCATAGGTAGACATACCTGCCATCCCACCACTTACATTTCATTTCCTTGTTAACTTAGATCTATATCAAGTGGCAAGTATGGTGTGGTTTAACTGTTCATTCACATACTTCGTCTTACAAAAAGCGATTCTTTAGGAAACTAGTATTCTGAGGAATTTTCATATATAAAACAAGTAACAAATAGTTAACGCTATAGAATAGATTAAATGTGGGGGGGGGGGGGGGGAAGGTATAATCATTTACTGATAAGCATCTAAAAATAGGCTTCAGACTACCTAGATTAGTCTAGAACAGTCTGCTACTTATTAGTTGTCTAATACACAACAAGTTAGAAACAAATAAAGCAAGCTGAAGTATTAGTCTTCAACTAATGTTAAAGTTAAACTAGTTCTTTTTTGCTTTTAATGCAGGCTGGATGCTAGCTTTGTAGAATTATTTTTTATAATAAATGCTCATTTATACTGTGTATGTGTGTGTTGTTTTCTTAACTTGAAATGTTAAGGTTTAAGTAGTATGTTCACTGCATGGAGGTGGTGTTAGATTATTTAAAGAGACAGTTCAGTCTACCTTTTATAATGTTGTTTCTTGTTGTTTCTGTTAAAGGCCAGAATGAATGAGTTGAGACAATTTCATTTTTTTTATTGATTTAGTGTACAGACATGCTGAGACCTCGCTTTTTGCCTAGTCCAGTGGTGATCAAGAAAAGGATTGAAGGTTTAATAGAGAGAGAATATCTAGCTAGAGCTGCAGAAGACAGGTGGGTGACTTAGTTAAGTAAACATCAGTTGTAGTAAAGGTTTGTGATGTAGCTAAGTGAACATTAGTTGTAGTAAAGGTTTGTGATGTAGCTAAGTAAACATCAGTTGTAGTAGAGAAAGGTTAGTGATATAGCTAAGTAAACATCAGTTGTAGTAAAGAAAGGTTAGTGATATAGATAAGTAAACATCAGTTGTAGTAGAGAAAGGTTAGTGAAAAGTAGATATACTTTCCATACCTTTTAACTAACATGGTAGGTGGAGTAGAGTACACATTTCTGTGACCTTTGCATATGAAGGGGTAGTGTGGTCAGTTCCATGCCCAGCCACCTCCAATGTGAGTCATGCACCATTCAGGCAGGACTCAGGGACATCTTACAGCCTGTGATTAGAACTTTTCAGTTTAGCTGTGGTGTGCCCTGCCACCTGGCTGCATTGTCAATGGGTAGCCGCTTAATGAGCAGCTATTGTAGAAGATTTGGACCGGTTCTAGAATTGGTTTTAGTACTTACAGATATTCTTCTTTGAAATTATTTTAAAAAATTAACTAACATTTTTATCAACGGAAATAATTTAAACAAAATTTTTAAAAATGTTACACCGAATGGTTACTGTATAATTTTTTTTCCTTAGAAAAATCTACACGTATGTTGCCTAAATGTTCTGGTCTAACCTGCTCAATAAGACAGTACTTGGCAGAGGATACGCTTAGCTGAATGGGTGCACACAGCCAGACACTGTCATCTAGTTGCTACAATCATCTCTTTGAATCCTTCTACATTTTTACTCTCACTCATTTCAAGTAGAAACAAAAATAATTTGCTTCCTTGTGAAGCCATCAGTCTCACTGCCTCAGTGTGTGTCTACAACTTGTGCATTTATTACACACAGTGCTCCCACAATTGTATGTGTGAGTTGAGATCTTTCTCTTCTGCCTTACCATCAGTACCAGAAATAGGGAGCTCATTTTATTGTGTGGTATTGACTGGTCAGTAGTGGCTATTTTAATTTTCATTTTATTTCCCATCCATTCCTTACACTATTAACATGTTACTGGCTGTAGCTTGACACTACCAGTAACATGTTACTGGCTGTAGCTTGACACTACCAGTAACATGTTACTGGCTGTAGCTTGACACTACTAGTAACATGTTACTGGCTGTAGCTTGACACTACCAGTAACATGTTACTGGCTGTAGCTTGACACTACCAGTAACATGCTACTGGCTGTAGCTTGACACTACCAGTAACATGTTACTGGCTGTAGCTTGACACTACCAGTATTATGTTACTGGCTGTAGCTTGACACTACCAGTAACATGTTACTGGCTGTAGCTTGATGGGTTACATTAGACTAGGAAATACAGTGGTTCATGTCTATAGTTGAAACAATTTTGTTTAGTAGATGCTTGTGTATCGTTGTCATGGTAATGATAGAACATGGTTGGGTTATAACACCAGGTTCGCAAGTACGTTTATCTTATGTATTTTCAATTAATTTTTTCTCGGCATTTCACCAAGGTTCATCACTGGTTTTGTTTCTTCCCCACCCCCTTCCCTCTACAAGTGTGCATTGTTTATGAATGGCACCAGCAATGTCCTTACAGAGATGGAACTCATATATTTTGTCTGTGGTCAGGTCTAAGACAACACTAGTGAAAACTTGTATGGATGTCCAACTGTACATTTGTGTCTATGGTCAAGTTTCATGTCAGTGTTTAGGGATGTGTTTATCTGTGAATGAACCACTGCTCTTCTCATCAGTTTGGGAACCACTGGCTACCTATTGCAGTAATCATGAGTTTTTTAATATGGTAATTTTAAGTATTCTTAGTAATGTTGCCAAAATTTGTTTTTAAAGTGTTGAAATTTTAGAAAAATACTGAGTTAACTTCGTCCCCATTGGGAAATGTGTGAACCATTTATGTACTGCATCTTGTTTGGTAGCATACTTTGACTTTCTATATGAGTGGATGAGTATAGCTGGAGTTTTGTTTGGATGATTCTGTCTTAAATTAAATGTATATACTTTCATTGGGCAATAGACCCTTCCCCTGCCTCTTATCTTGTTCAAGATTTACTTAGAAGAAAATAAAATTTATTGCAGATTATAAAAATCTTTTTATTTGGTCTAAATGTGCTTAAGATATTGGCAGATGAGGATTGTGTATATATTATATATATTTTCATGAGGTTTGCGCATGGTTGTGTATAAAGAAAATGTATGTGGATAACTTGCTTGTAGATGTGTTAGGACAGGAGTGATGGTTCCTGCCCTCACCAACCGCTACGTGTGTGTACAAGTTCACTGAATCTCTTTTATAATTGATTGAACAGAGACAGAGAATTTGGTCACACACGTTGGTTTATTGTCCATGCACAGTCCTATTTAATATTTGTTCAGAAAATAAACAATTCATTACATGGATATGTTGTTTTCTTTTTGTGTTAGCTCCCAATTTGGTATCTTACTGCAAGCAGAACATCAGTCACAGGGTGAGTGGACTGGAAGACATTTGTTGGTGGACAGCTGCTAATCACCTTATTTTTGGTCCACTAGTCACTAAAAGAATTATTCTCCTAACTTCTCTAACGCAGGGTAAAAAAAGTAAAAACACCTGATACAATTTTAAATAAGTCTCAATTCAATAGCTAATTGTATGTAATAGTTTTAAAAATGCTAACAATGAGTTGGTAAACTTTTGATTACCCCCCCCCCCCCCCCCCCCATTGGACATATTAAACTACTGTGGGCTGCAGTGCACATAAATAATGGTTTTAAGCTGAGCCTTTAGGTTTAGAATCCTGTTATTGTAATCAATGAGAACACCTCTACCATGTTTAAAATGTACTCAAAATTTAATTGTTTATAAATTTCATCAGTCAACATATCTACATATTAGAATGTAATAAGTTCATTTAAAAAGTTTTTTGTGACCCTGCCATCTTTACATAGTGTCCTCTGTACCATTGAATTGAATCAGATCCACAAAATCTATCCCATATTTGTCTGAAGAAGCCTGCCCATCACACAGTTTATCAAGCAGGATGGTGTTACTGGTGTCCCCTGCCATACAGCTGTCCTGTACTGGGCCTGATTCATCCAGTGATATACTGTTGAGAGATGAAACAGTACTTTGGCGACGTAGTAATTTCCTTTTTTCTTTCACGCTCTCATAAAACATTTTAGCTTGTCTTGGGTCAATGACTGGCGTCCCATCAGCCTTGAAAGCTTCAGCTGCCATGCTGAACTCTTCCATGGAGTCTTGAGATGAGATGCTGTCATACACTTTCTCTCCGTCTCTTAGAAGGTCTTCTGTGCTGTCATTCATTTCAGTGATGGTGTCAACTCTGTCCATCTCTCTAGGCAAATCATCCATACTGTCATTTATTGCTTGCTTATGTTTGCGAGGTTTCCTTTTTAATGAATGATAATTTCTTTCACTTTCAATCGAAGCATAATAAGGGGATGATGATGACGAAGAAGAAGATGATATAGAATTACAGCAAGAACGCATGAAATGAGCATTTTTGAAAAATGGATTTGGTGGAGATTCTTTTCTAGTTTTAATCTTTGCAGAAAACTGGCCAGTTGATGGAGTAGAATCTGTTGTTGAACTAAGGTCTGGATTGTATGTGCCAGTTGGCATTGTAAGTGGAGATGGAGTATTTTTACTGTAAACTCTGCCTGCTTGTGAGTGCGAGCTACTGACTAACTGATGTACTGAAGAGTCATCAGTTGGTGCACCATCACAAGTGTCAAATGCTGGAAGGTTGTCATTTCTTGTATCTGGATGGAATAAGGAAGCCATGTGTTTGGAGAAGTCAGTGGCTTGTGGTGGAGTGCCAAATACACTTTCTTCAGATGACGTTGACGAACAATGCTCTCTCCTGCGATTAAAGTGACCTGACTTGGTAACTGGGTGCTGGACAGATTTTTGATGTTCATTGGGTAATGCATTAGGTGATGCATTTCCTCGATATGCTGAAAAGAATGGATTGGACGATGGGGCACAGTTTGGCGTAGGGGTGTAGAATGGTGTTGGCGGTGTGCTAGTTGAGTACACAGATGCTCGGCTCTCAATTTTGCTGATAAATCTTTTGAGTTTCCTCATCTCCTGAACACTCTTCATGCGCAGCAGCTGTATATCTTTGGACTGTATGGGGACTCGGGGTGGCCCCTCCCTTTTCTTTTTGATCACCTCTTTGATCACCTGTTTAAATATCAAAATTATATCAATCCCAATAGACCTCATACTCTGCAGGAATCAAAGTATTCAAACATAAAGGTAGGATTTACAATGATTAGAACACTATGGTAAGGTGTAAAATAGCAAACAAGTATTTTTTTTTTAAATTGCTATCATATCAACTATTACATCATATTTGATATTTGTTACAAATTTGATAGAAACGATCCCATTAAAGACTACTCACAGATTTAATGTCCTCAATATGCAGTAAAGTGTTGAACTCCATAAGCTGGCTGAGACGCTCAAAGTTTTTGTGTGTGTATGTAAAGTTGAATGTGGAGTAAGGAGCTTTAGGGTCATCAAACACATCAAAGTCTGCAAAATCTAGTTCCTCCTGTGTCTCCCGAGGTACATCTGCAATAAAAATAAATTGATGAATATTCTTTTAATACACATGGAATATTCTCCTTTTAACCTACTTGAAATATTCTTTTAATAATATATATGGAATATTCTTTTAATATACATGGAATATTCTTTTAATATACACGGAATATATATTTATATTTTCGTTCTCTCTGTATTCTATAACCTATTTTTAAAATGTTCAGTAATAATGGGAAATAAGGACTCCCTGGGCAAGTCACAGATTTTTCTACCAATAAATGATGGGAATAGTGGGATAACTTCACTTTTGTTATTCTGTATACACACCCATCTATTAATAACACTTATAGTTAGTTATTTAAATGTGGGCAGGAACTACTACCTCCCTAGCCCTAGTTCCTTTCTTGTCTCAAATCCTGACCATAATGGATGCTAAATATAATTCTTACATTGCTTCTAAAAACAATACCAATAAAAAAAGAAAACCTAGATATGATAACTAGACTTAAAGACTTGACGTACTTGGTGCTTTGAATTGTTTGAAAGTTTTGTTGACAAGGACAAAGTGAAAGACTATAGGACAGTGTGGATCCTTTTCATCACGGAAGATGTAGAGTTCCTTCATCCCCTCACGCTCAAACACTGACGTATCTATTGGTGGAAACGGTAGACGGTTCAGCCTAGCCCATTTCTCAGCTAGCAGCAGCTCCTGAAAAAGTATCAATATTTCATTTATACAATAGCTAACTAATTAAACAAACTTTAAAACATTAATGAATGCAATAATCAAATTTTGCCCAGTGGTTCAACCCCTTAAATAACTCTCCCCCCCCCCCCCCCCCCCCCCCCCACCAAACTCTTGATTGCAATTTGTCTTTAACTTTAAAGTTGATGTTTTTTTTATAACAATGGGCTGAGTCAACATTAAGCAGGACAATCAAACATTTCATTAGATTTTATAAAAAATTTCCATAACAAAAAAAACTGCTTAAGTTCAGTGTAAAAAATTACTCCCTGACACCAAAGTCCTATACCCCCCTACAGGAGTAGGACATCATTTATAGGCAAATTCTCATCTAAGTACAATAGCCTGGGGTACAAACCTTAAAAGGATGATGATTGTCTGAGGGTCTAGCACTGAAATCAAATGACAGTATGATGTCCACCTGTCTCTGTGGTCGCAGCACCAGTGGATACGGTGAGTTGAAGGTCAGACCAGCGTCCACCATGTAAATATGCTTCACTGTAGTTGGGTGCATCTCAAAGATTCCTGAAACAAGTTTGTTTTGGATTGGTTGATTGTATATCTCCTTAATTTAAACACCAAGCTCAATGAAATAAAAATATTTGTATTTTTGGTAACCAATAATAAAAATAAATATAGTGCAAAAATTCACAAATCGTTACCATCAAACTCATCGCCTTGATTGACCCTCTTATCTATAGGGGTGAAAGGTGAGAGGGGGTAGGTCTGCTGGAGGGACAACCCTCTCATGAAGTTATGGATGACAGCTGCTCGACCTCGACGTGTGCTTAAAAGCTCCCAAGAGTTGCTGTAAACATCACATTTGTTATACAATAAAATCTCAGAAAATCTATTTGGTTTATCTAATATCAGTAACAATTTACTTTGTAAGCTATTATTTCAAAATTCTGTTTTTGCTTTATTAGTACATAATTATTTTTATTAATCATGATCAAAATATTTTGGCAATGGATATTTAAAATTAAATATAAAATTATTTACCTTTCAAAAACTCCCTGCATTAATTTCTTCCAATAGGTTTTTGAGCCACTTTTAGACTTTTTGAATGAAGAGCCAGCCCGCTTGTAAGCTTTTCTCTTGTCTTCGTGGCTGGCATTTTCCCTAGTGGGACATTCTCCCCAGTTCACTGTTTTTTTCAAACCATCTGAGGCATCCAAATTTACATCACATTTTTTCACAACAGGTTTGGCTATATGGAGTTTCTTCTGTTTCATGATAGAGCTTTTCACACACATTTCTTCCTGTTCATCCGCCTCTCCTTCGTAGGCTTCATCAGCATCAGCGGTGACATCAACACCATTTGACGTCTCTGCCTTTCCTGAGTTTTCTTCCAGTGATTTGTTTAAAGCAACAGCTGAATGGCTGTCAGTCCGAGAGAGTTCTATCCCACCAGAAGATTCATCTGTTGTGTCCAGAGATTTGTCGTCGCTGTCCTCCATGCTTGATTCCAGGCTACTGCTGTCATCCCCCTCCTCATCCATGTCATCATCGCTAGGGTCGCTGGAACTTTCATGACGCTCTTCTTCCAATTTTTTTGTCATTTCAAGTCGGATCATTTCAATTGGGTCAATGCGGCGGTTGTCTTCAAGCAGACGACGAAACAGAATGCAAAAAGCACTGCCCCAGATACCTGCACAGCAATCAACAACAGCATGAGAGTAGCATGAAAGTAGCATGAGAGCAGCATGAGAACAGCATGAGAGCAGCATGAGAGCAGCATGAGAGCAGCATGAGAGCAGCATGAGAGCAGCATGAGAACAGCATGAGAGCAGCATGAGAGCAGCATGAGAGCAGCATGAGAGCAGCATGAGAGCAGCATGAGAGTAGCATGAGAGCAACAGAAAAATTTTGCACACAATCATTTTAATTTTTATTGCAGCAGATGTCATGATAGCCATATCCAAGTTTTTGGAGCTTGGCAGTTTTGAGCTCAAGTTTTACGCAATTTTACTTAACATTTTGACACAACTTTTAAAGTTTTTGGGTTAAGTTTTAATACTTTGTAAATCTGCAAAATTACTGACCTTGAAGGAAATGTAGTGGCTGCTCTGGGTACTTTTTGACCAGTTTTCCCATAAAAAATTTGCTGCCAAAAAGTTCTGAGTCCATAAATGTTCCATATTTAGGCATACCAATTTCATAAGGGGAAAATTCAACCCATTCTGCACAGGATAGATAATACATAATTTAACATTAACCTATGGTCAAATGGAAAATAAGATCTAAATGTAACCTTTTCTTCTTAATTGTTTTGTATGAATGCAGCAAAGTTTGTAAGGATTTGTGTTGAGTTAAAAAAACTAACCCTGGAAAGATTTTGCTGGCACATCTTTTTTGACATGAACACAAGTGTATAAAGGCATCGGAACATTCCCATCTTTGATCTTTTCTCTCTGATCTTTCAAAGTTGCTCCCATTCTCTGAAAAGTATTAACAAACTAGTAGTTATATATTGTGGGGGGGGGGGGGGGGGGGGAGAAACCAAGGTGCTGGGTGGAATTAGGTAAAATTTTGTAATCATTGAGTAGGGACTGCATGGTGATAAGTTGTACAGTGGCTGGATATGTTTGGCAAAAGGTTGATCAATAATGGAGTTCTAAAACTGCTTAAGTCTCAGATATTCAAGCAACATTTCAAATTCTTAGCGCTCTAACAATAATCAGACCTACATCTTTGAGCAGTGTCTCTCCAACCATCCGTCCAAAAATATCTGTGAAACTAACAGGTTGTCCATCTCGACGTTTCTGTACCATATACTTGGCATAGTTATAGATGGTGGTGGCATTAAAGAAACGAAGCAAACTTTTGTCAATGCTGTTCTTGAGTTCTTCTAGAAACTCATCCATCTCCAGGTTTGGCCACTTGGGGTGTGAGTACAAAGTTGAGATAAACCTGAAGTGGAAATTATTTAATGATTTTTTTTAATCAAGAGAAATCTTTTGAGGATTTGGAATAAAGCACAATTTCTTCACTTTTTAAAATGCATATTACAATATTACTTTAGAAATGCATTTGGCTTAACAGTCAAATAAAATATTAGATATTTAAATTATGAAAAAATGGGAAAACCAAATACCATGAAGAGCCAGAAAGTCCACCTGCAAATGTGGTGCAATCAATAACACCAGACTCCACAAGAGCCTTGAAAACACCACTGTAGCCGGTCATTGCACGGAAGCCCCCTCCTGATCCAATGACAGCAATTGTCGGAACCTGAAAATATTTGAAATCCAATTTTTTAATTTAATAACCACGAATGCACGTTTTGTAAAAAATAAACCAATTAAGCCAGGCATTTTAAATTTTGATAATTTCAAGCTTTATTCAATTAACAATGCTACAATTATTTATTTATTAAGTCAAAAATGTATGTTACATACATATTTTTAAAGCAATGTTAATTACAGATAGTCTGAGATAATTTAGTTTAAAAAAAAACATTACACGGCTCATGACAAATGTAGATCTTTTACCTCATGAATATTCAATGGACACTCCTCATCTCCCAGAAGTTTTCTCAAGCCTTCCAAAACTTTTAGCTGCCGTCTGCTGATGAAATCTTTTTCTGCATCACTGAGACAGAGGCTGTAGCGCAGAGTGGGATTTCGACTAAAGAAATAAAATTTGTCTTACAATAAGTTCAATTTAATTAATTGTTGGAAAAGTAAAATAAAAATCATTTTAGTTTATTAATGGTTCAAGTTGACTTTTTCATGAAACAATTTCTTCTCTAACATAATTACAACAAATAGTCAAAACAACTTACTCAAATTCCAATTTAAACTCTATATCCACTTCAGAAACCTTTATAAAAATCATAAAAGTAAGTTTTAGTATTTAGTACTATGTGATATGGTTATAACTGCAACATTTTTAGGGTACATTCCTGTTAAACCTTTAACAGAGAAGCAACCTTGCAAAAGATCTACAATAATTTGAATCCATACTGCTGATGTAAATACCTAACCCAAAATTACTAACCTATGTCCTCCAAATACAGAAAAAAAAATGAACTAAAAAATAAATTTAGTTTACAAACCACCTAACTAGTTAAATTGCAAATAAAAACCAACCAACCAAACAGACTGAGTTAGCTTTAGACTGACCAAACAGACTGAGTTAGCTTTAGACTGACCAAACAGACTGAGTTAGCTTTAGACTGACCAAACAGACTGAGTTAGCTTTAGACTGACCAAACAGACTGAGTTAGCTTTAGACTGACCAAACAGACTGAGTTAGCTTTAGACTGACCAAACAGACTGAGTTAGACTGACCTGATTAAAGATAAATGTCTCCACCTGAGGGGTGTCCATCATCTTCATGTTGACAATATCAAAATAAGCCGTCCCAACTTTCTGATCAAACCACAGTGAATTGGATTCCATTAAACTAATTTCTGGTCAGACATGCAAACAAAATTAATGCTTTGATAGCCACAACAATAATTGTCATTTAAAGGTCAATACATTTTAATTTGAAAAAAAATAATCTTCCAGTAATTTAAGCCACTAGAAACTAATAAACCATTGTTTACAATTATGTTAAACTTTGCTTTTTTTTTTGTTGTTGTTTAAACTTGGTGGTTCAAGTACTGCATGCTTTACAGCAATGAACATGTTTGATTGAATGTGTCTAGTTGAACCGGAGAACAATTGTATGACTGTGTTGAGTTGAACCAGAGAACAATGGTATGAATGTGTCTAGTTGAACCAGAGAACAATGGTATGAATGTGTCTAGCTGAACCAGAGAACAATGGTATGAATGTGTCTAGTTGAATCAGAGAACAATGGTATGAATGTGTCTAGTTGAATCAGAGAACAATGGTATGAATGTGTCTCTTTGAACCAGAGAGTTCTGAATGTGAATATCAGCTAGCCTTACCCAGGATGTTTGGCTGGGTAAAGTTGATGAAAAATGTGAAGGTTTCATCCCACTCGGGGCTCGTGCAGTTTTCTTTCACTGTCGTTGATTTCTTTCCTTCTGGTGACGTTCTCAGAACCAGGTTGATGTAAGGGTCAGGGGTGTCATCTGGAAGTAAAGGTTAATGTAAGGGTCAGGGGTGTCATCTGGAAGTAAAGGTTAATGTAAGGGTCAGGGGTGTCATCTGGAAGTAAAGGTTAATGTAAGGGTCAGGGGTGTCATCTGGAAGTAAAGGTTAATGTAAAGGTAACGGGTGTCATCTGGAAGTAAAGGTTAATGTAGGGGTCAGGGGTGTCATCTGGAAGTAAAGGTTAATGTAAGGGTCAGGGGTGTCATCTGGAAGTAAAGGTTAATGTAAGGGTCAGGGGTGTCATCTGGAAGTAAAGGTTAATGTAAGGGTCAGGGGTGTCATCTGGAAGTAAAGGTTAATGTAAGGGTCAGGGGTGTCATCTGGAAGTAAAGGTTAATGTAAGGGTCAGGGGTGTCATCTGGAAGTAAAGGTTAATGTAAAGGTCAGGGGTGTCATCTGGAAGTAAAGGTTAATGTAAGGGTCAGGGGTGTCATCTGGAAGTAAAGGTTAATGTAAGGGTCAGGGGTGTCATCTGGAAGTAAAGGTTAATGTAAGGGTCAGGGGTGTCATCTGGAAGTAAAGGTTAATGTAGGGGTCAGGGGTGTCATCTGGAAGTAAAGGTTAATGTAAGGGTCAGGGGTGTCATCTGGAAGTAAAGGTTAATGTAGGGGTCAGGGGTGTCATCTGGAAGTAAAGGTTAATGTAAGGGTCAGGGGTGTCATCTGGAAGTAAAGGTTAATGTAAGGGTCAGGGGTGTCATCTGGAAGTAAAGGTTAATGTAAGGGTCAGGGGTGTCATCTGGAAGTAAAGGTTAATGTAAGGGTCAGGGGTGTCATCTGGAAGTAAAGGTTAATGTAAGGGTCAGGGGTGTCATCTGGAAGTAAAGGTTAATGTAAAGGTCAGGGGTGTCATCTGGAAGTAAAGGTTAATGTAGGGGTCAGGGGTGTCATCTGGAAGTAAAGGTTAATGTAAGGGTCAGGGGTGTCATCTGGAAGTAAAGGTTAATGTAAGGGTCAGGGGTGTCATCTGGAAGTAAAGGTTAATGTAAAGGTCAGGGGTGTCATCTGGAAGTAAAGGTTAATGTAAAGGTCAGGGGTGTCATCTGGAAGTAAAGGTTAATGTAGGGGTCAGGGGTGTCATCTGGAAGTAAAGGTTAATGTAGGGGTCAGGGGTGTCATCTGGAAGTAAAGGTTAATGTAAGGGTCAGGGGTGTCATCTGGAAGTAAAGGTTAATGTAAAGGTCAGGGGTGTCATCTGGAAGTAAAGGTTAATGTAAGGGTCAGGGGTGTCATCTGGAAGTAAAGGTTAATGTAAGGGTCAGGGGTGTCATCTGGAAGTAAAGGTTAATGTAGGGGTCAGGGGTGTCATCTGGAAGTAAAGGTTAATGTAAGGGTCAGGGGTGTCATCTGGAAGTAAAGGTTAATGTAAGGGTCAGGGGTGTTAGTCTGAAGTAAAGGTTAATGTAAGGGTCAGGGGTGTCATCTGGAAGTAAAGGTTAATGTAAGGGTCAGGGGTGTCATCTGGAAGTAAAGGTTAATGTAAGGGTCAGGGGTGTCATCTGGAAGTAAAGGTTAATGTAGGGGTCAAGGGTGCCATCTTGTCCTTGTTAATATAAGTGACATAACCGTGTTTATTTAAAAGAGAAACAGGCTTGATATACATATGCTAAATAAAATTCTTCACTGTTCTCTTACCATTATTTAAATAAATTATCTGATTAAAAAAAATTAAGTGCTAATTAACACAAAAAGGACATTTGGATTCTGAAACCTTTTAAAATTTGGTTTAAGTGAAATATATTTTGGTTTGGAAAGACTAAAAGGGAGATAATATTTACTTACAGTAGTCTTGAAAGCCCATAGTTATGTTCCTTCCCCTTAACACTTTGACTGAGAGAATAAGACAGGGCGTGTGCTGTACCTACGAGAATAAAAGTGTTGCCGCCAGGCAAATAAGGGTTAATCCACTTGGTCTAAAGTGGGTCATTTGACATTCGGGTTGCAAGGTAATTTTTGTCAATACAGGCGATTCTAATTATTTCGGGGATTTCCCGAGGCAAGTCAGTTGAAAGGGGCCGCCATAAAGTATGGGATCCCTTTTGAATCAGATGGCATGACATTATTGTATACGTTGGGCTGGAGCACCACAGTCAGTCTGTCAAATATCGGATTGATTTAAACGGCAGTCTTTATTGTCAGTTTAATTAACTTTGTTTTATTCATTTTGTCGAGTGATTCCTTTGTGACGGTCTTTATTCCTCTGGTTGATAATCAAAGAACCGTTCCCGTTTCACAATCAAAGGTGCTTGCTTTATAATCTCATATAGCATTAATGGTAAACTTGTGTGTACAATTTTAAAGTTGTATGTGTCCCAATTTTAAAGTTGTATGTGTCCCAATTTTAAAGTTGTATGTGTCCCAATTTTAAAGGTGTATGTGTCCCAATTTTAAAGGTGTATGTGTCCCATTTTTAAAGTTGTATGTGTTCCAATTTTAAAGTTGTATGTGTCCCAATTTTAAAGTTGTATGTGTCCCAATTTTAAAGTTGTATGTGTCCCAATTTTAAAGTTGTATGTGTCCCAATTTTAAAGGTGTATGTGTCCCAATTTTAAAGGTGTATGTGTCCCAATTTTAAAGGTGTATGTGTCCCAATTTTAAAGGTGCATGTGTCCCAATTTTAAAGTTGTATGTGTCCCAATTTTAAAGTTGTATGTGTCCCAATTTTAAAGGTGTATGTGTCCCAATTTTAAAGATGTATGTGTCCCAATTTTAAAGGTGTATGTGTCCCAATTTTAAAGTTGTATGTGTCCCAATTTTAAAGGTGTATGTGTCCCAATTTTAAAGTTGTATGTGTCCCAATTTTAAAGTTGTGTGTGTCCCAATTTTAAAGTTGTATGTGTCCCAATTTTAAAGTTGTATGTGTCCCAATTTTAAAGTTGTATGTGTCCCAATTTTAAAGTTGTATGTGTCCCAATTTTAAAGTTGTATGTGTCCCAATTTTAAAGTTGTATGTGTCCCAATTTTAAAGTTGTATGTGTCCCAATTTTAAAGTTGTATGTGTCCCAATTTTAAAGTTGTATGTGTCCCAATTTTAAAGGTGTATGTGTCCCAATTTTAAAGTTGTATGTGTCCCAATTTTAAAGTTGTATGTGTCCCAATTTTAAAGGTGTATGTGTCCCAATTTTAAAGGTGTATGTGTCCCAATTTTAAAGGTGTATGTGTCCCAATTTTAAAGGTGTATGTGTCCCAATTTTAAAGGTGTATGTGTCCCAATTTTAAAGGTGTATGTGTCCCAATTTTAAAGATGTATGTGTCCCAATTTTAAAGGTGTATGTGTCCCAATTTTAAAGTTGTATGTGTCCCAATTTTAAAGGTGTATGTGTCCCAATTTTAAAGTTGTATGTGTCCCAATTTTAAAGTTGTATGTGTCCCAATTTTAAAGTTGTGTGTGTCCCAATTTTAAAGTTGTATGTGTCCCAATTTTAAAGTTGTATGTGTCCCAATTTTAAAGTTGTATGTGTCCCAATTTTAAAGTTGTATGTGTCCCAATTTTAAAGTTGTATGTGTCCCAATTTTAAAGGTGTATGTGTCCCAATTTTAAAGTTGTATGTGTCCCAATTTTAAAGGTGTATGTGTCCCAATTTTAAAGTTGTATGTGTCCCAATTTTAAAGTTGTATGTGTCCCAATTTTAAAGTTGTATGTGTCCCAATTTTAAAGGTGTATGTGTCCCAATTTTAAAGTTGTATGTGTCCCAATTTTAAAGTTGTATGTGTCCAATTTTAAAGTTGTATGTATATATGTCGTGTACTGAGGTAGGTGCCTGTGTGTGTGTGTGTCAGTCATTTTAGTGCGGCATGTGACTTTCGTGTAGTGTAGTGTGTGTGTGTGTGTGTGTGGCACACTGTTTCTTTCACACTTTTTCTCCGGGGGGGGGGGGGCACTTGAAGTTTTTGGGATTTGGGAGTGGGGGCGGACTAAAGTTTTTTTAGGGTTGACATTGGTAAAAGCATATTTTTTCTATATAAATTCCATTTCGTAAGGGAGTGGGGGGGGGGGGGGGGGCGGGGGACGGGACGGTAGTAGACTTTCTACGGGGGGGGGGGGGGGGGTGGCTGCCTGGAAGAAACTGGTACTGTAAGGTGCATAGGCGAGGTTGTGGTGATGTGTTAGTATCTCTGGTATGAGGAGTATATGTGTGTGTCGTGTGGTGATGTGTGTGTGTGGTGATGTGTGTGTGGTGATGTGTGTGTGGTGATGTGTGTGTGTCGTGTGGTGATTGTGTGTCGTGGTGATGTGTGTGTGGTGATGTGTGTGTGTCGTGTGGTGATGTGTGTGTGTGTCGTGTGGTGATATGTGTGGTGATGTGTGTGTGTGGTGATGTGTGTGTGTGGTGATGTGTGTGTGGTGATGTGTGTGTGTGGTGATGTGTGTGTGTGGTGATGTGTGTGTGTGACATCTGGCAAGCCCAGAGCATGGAGTACCACGCGCAGTGTCAGTGTGACACCACACACACACACACACACACACACACACCACACACACACAACGCCCCACAAACAGAAAAAATGTGTGGGGACCAGCTTAGGGTAAAAATAAACACACACGGCTAAACGGCGGGTACACGGCAAGACTTGACACACAGTATACACACATAAACAGCAGCCGACATAAACAGTTAGCAGCCGACATAAACAGTTAGCAGCCGACATAAACAGTTAGCAGCCGACAGAAACAGTTAGCAGCCGACAGAAACAGTTAGCAGCCGACAGAAACAGTTAGCAGCCGACAGAAACAGTTAGCAGCCGACAGAAACAGTTAGCAGCCGACAGAAACAGTTAGCAGCCGACAGAAACAGTTAGCAGCCGACTGAAACAGTTAGCAGCCGACAGAAACAGTTAGCAGCCGACAGAAACAGACAGAAACCGTTAGCAGCCGACAGAAACCGTTAGCAGCCGACAGAAACAGTTAGCAGCCGACAGAAACAGTTAGCAGCCGACAGAAACAGTTAGCAGCCGACAGAAACAGTTAGCAGCCGACAGAAACAGTTAGCAGCCGACAGAAACAGTTAGCAGCCGACAGAAACAGTTAGCAGCCGACAGAAACAGTTAGCAGCCGACAGAAACAGTTAGCAGCCGACAGAAACAGTTAGCAGCCGACAGAAACCGTTAGCAGCCGACAGAAACCGTTAGCAGCCGACAGAAACAGTTAGCAGCCGACAGAAACTGTTAGCAGCCGACAGAAACAGTTAGCAGCCGACAGAAACAGTTAGCAGCCGACAGAAACAGTTAGCAGCCGACATAAACAACAGCTGACATAAACAGCAGCCGACATAAACAGTTAGCAGCCCACAGAAACAGGAATCAGTCCACAGAAACAGGCGACAGAAACAGCCGACAGAAACAGCCCACAGAAACAGCCAACAGAAACAGCCCACAGAAACAGTACAACCCCAGTTACTTAGTCTAGTCTAGTCTGAGTGTTGAACACGTCAAGACTATTTTTGTTGGGGGTGGGCAAATGTTTTTTTTCTCCTTAGGCCGATTCGCTCCTTTAGGGCGGTTCTTTACTTTTGGACCAATGTTTACATTTCGACTAATGTAGGCGCCTCCTTTCGGTGAATATAGGCCTACTTGCTGTGAAATGTTTTTTGTATTTTCACTGAAATGTTATTTTTAGCGATTTTTTGGGGATCTTTCTGCAAGGCGATTGTGATTTTTTTTTTAAAGAACGCGTTTATCCGGCAGATGAAGCAGAGTTGATGTTTTATGAACTCATTTCTTTTGTGTTAACAAGATTCTGATGTTTTATGAATTCAGTTCTTCTGTGTTAACAAGATTCTGATGTTTTATAAACTTCTTCTGTGTTAACAAGATTCTGGTGTTTTATGAACTCAGTTCTTCTGTGTTAACAAGATTCTGATGTTTTATGAACTCAGTTCTTCTGTGTTAACAAGATTCTCCATCGAACGGGTCTTTTCAAAGCAAAAAGTCCCATGTGACTCCATCATAGTGTTGTGGTGATGTAGACCTAGTTGGTAAAACATTTTCCATATTTAAAACCTGCTAGCGTATGCCGCCCTAGTTCCCCGATGATTTCCTCTAAAAAAAACGTGTTGCGATATCAAATCAGTCACACAGGTGAACGGGCTGATGCCAGAACCATCCTGATAACAAACTAAAAATATGAATTCTGGCTCCCTCTCCTCCACCTTCGAACGGCGCATTTCTGTCGTCTGCTATTAAAACACCTCTCACCCCAGAAGCACCCCCACCCACCCTCTCACCCCAGAAGCACCCCCACCCACCCTCTCACCTCCCAGAAAATAATTCAGCTCTGAGTTGTGATGGTAGCAAACATCCCTTAGTGCGTCATGGTAAAGATTCCTTTTAAGGCGGCGTGATCTCGTTTCAAATCTGGCGAGATCTCGTTTCAAATCTGGCGAGATCTCGTTTCAAATCTGGTGCTCACGTTCACGGAGAAACGATCAGTTGCCCCGTTACTCGACGTGCAGTTGAGCTTTCATACGTAACAGTCAGAAGACGCAAATTTAACAGTCAGCAGACGCACATTTAACAGCCAGCAGACGCACATTTAACAGTTAACAGACGCACATTTAACAGTTAACAGACGCACCTTTAACAGTTAACAGACGCACCTTTAACAGTTAACAGACGCACATTTAACAGTTAACAGACGCGAACCTCCAAGGTTCGAGCAGACGGCATCTATCTCTGCTATCCAATTACATTTATCACCTCGCCATTCCTATATCTCTGTGGGATATATACGTCATACATGTGCTAGTATTTTTTTAAATACAAACACTGACTGAGATACATGTGTCATACATGTACTAATGTACGTCATACATTCATAGACTGGGGTTTATTCTGGTCTTAGCGGTTGAACTTGTAATTTAATTTTTTTAGCGAATCCCAGTACTCAAATGTAATCATGGATCCCTCATAGGTCCCTCGTCGACTTGACGACAAACATTAAAACAACAGAGGCCAGAAAACAAGGACGCTTGTATGATGAGAAATAATTAGAACACACACAACAACAACAACAACAAGAAAAAACTCACCTCAAATATTTGATAAGGATCGTACCTGAAAACAGAAAGAAGAAAGTTAGCTGGGTGAAAAGGTGAAGGTCACGTCTTGTTAACTACACATGTCCTCAGACTGCTGGGGTGGTGGTATAGACTGGTGGGGTGCTGGTATGTTCTCAGACTGATGGGGTGGTGGTATGTTCTCAGACTGATGGGGTATTGACGCCTGCCAAACGTGTTGCAAACAACGGTTCAAATTCTATACTGCTGGAGGGGGGTATCAGAACCTTACGCTAGGATTGGTTGGGGTGACGCGGCTAAAATATTGACTTATGGTTTAATTGAAGTTAATTAAATAATTTTAAAACAGACAATACGCTTATTACAACACAGACAATAGGCCAATTATAAATCATACAATAGGCCAATTTATAACAGACACTAGACCAATTTTTATACAACTCTCTCAACATCTTTACAAGTGTGGATGTGGGGAACAAAGGGGGCGGAGGTTGGGGCGGTATCAGCTGGTCTTGGTTTTATAACCAAACTAATCTAAGGCAGGAAGTTTTATTTGACACCAAACTCGTTTGTCCACACAACGAAATGATTAAAATAATTTAAAAACAAACACCGGAAGTGTAGCAATTAATGATTGAGAAGATGAAGTTTTCCCCGAAAGATGGTCACTTGAATGTGGCTGCATAAAATTAAAGTTTCCGGATGTCACCAACTCACACGATTAAACTTTTAAAGCAGCAGCAGCCACGGCTACTCTAAATATAAAGTTAATAGTATTGATAGCTTTTTTAATAGATTTAGTTTTTCCCCCAATCTTACCGGTACACGTTTAATTGATGTAAAACCTGGAAATTTTTGTGCCTCTATTTTAAACTTTTAAAAATGTGCATTAAAAATGATGAAGGTTATGTTGGCTGTTAGAAAGAAATTAAAAAAAAACTAGCACGGAGAAGCCGACTAGATTACAAGATAACGAATCAAATTTTCTAACACACGTGGCGCGTTTCATCCTACTGACTAGAAGATTTAAGAAAATACAGAGAGAAAAACACAGCGAGAGAAGCAAATATTTGTGTACACAGTGTATAAGCAACATCAGTAGTAATTTGTGTACACAGTGTATAAGCAACATCAGTAGTAATTTGTGTACACAGTGTATAAGCAACATCAGTAGTAATTTGTGTACACATTGTATAAGCAAAATCAGTAGTAATTTGTGTACACAGTTTATAAGCAACATCAGTAGTAATTTGTGTACAAAGTGTATAAGCAACATCAGTAGTATCATAGATACTATCTCATATAAAGTAATTTTTTTAAAAACGAGATTTGTATAATTATATAAATGCAAAAGTTCGACTTTCCTATACGGTGCAACCCATTTGAGAATAAGTGAGTGGTGCGGGTCTGTGGTGGTCTGGTTCGAGAGTTTGTTTATGTATGTCCGTGCCATTGTTCACTTACCACGGGCAGGAGGGGGTCGTTGAGGTAGGGGGGGGGGTTGTAGGGGGGTGGTAGGGGGGGTGGAAGGGGGGGGGGGGGGTAAGTTACACAGCCGTTAGAACACACATTCTCGGCTGGGAAATCCAACGCACTGACTGACCCCCATGACACAGGTACCTGACTGACCCCATGACACAGGTACCTGACTGACCCCATGATACAGGTACCTGACTGACCCCTTGACACAGGTACCTGACTGACCCCATGACACAGGTACCTGACTGACCCCATGACACAGGTACCTGACTGACCCCTGCACTGAAAGAAACCTGGTTGGATCACCATCAGACGACGGTGTGGAATAAAACCAAACCAGATGGTGAAATGGTGAACACTTTTGCTCACATCAAAGAAGGCACTACCGGTTAGGCTACACCCAGCCCCGTCAGTTAGGTTAGGCTACACCCAGCACGCCAGTCAGGCTACCCCCAACACATCATAGTCAGGCTACACCTAAAAGTAGTGACACATTAGCCATTCAAGACGTGCCAATAGCGTTTAAAAAGTTGTGTTTGGTTGACCCCCCCCCCCCCTAGACACTATTGACTAGTTTACGTCACACCTGTGTCAGGTACAAAAGCCTTGTGGAATCAGGGAGTGATCTCACGTAGTTACGTCATCAGGTTCTCAGCGGATTCTTGGCATATCGCAAGGGGAGGTAATATTAGGTTCAACAATGAGTTGTCCTGCCCCTGACACAGAATTTAGGTAAAGGAATTAACTGTACACACATTTATACAGCGTGGCATCATTTCCCTGCCTGTACAAAACGTACGAAGTGAAGGTTCTAGGGGTAGACGGGAGACTTAGCCAACCCTTCCCCAAAATATAGGCAAAAAAAGTAGGCCAAATAAGTGAACACATTGTTTACATTACTTGTATTTTTTAAATATTTCATCTACGGTGTTTTTTCTTATTAAAATTTCAAGTGTATTTTTGTATAGAGATGGGCGGGTGACAGGTCTACCCGTCCCCCAAAAATACAAAGTATCATTATATAATCCAGGACTAGCGGCATTCTACCAACTGTAAGTTTCCACTGTTTGTATTAGTGCGCGGACTCAAATAGAGGGAATAAAAATAGAACAAACAGAACTATGTCCGTGGGTTGAAGAAAAAGGGTGGGACAGGGGCGACAATTCACAGACGGCCGATTGGAATGTACCAGTCTATCGAACTACACCCATGGGGACGTTTCTATGGAAGGTCATGGTTGCTATTTTTATCTCCCGGTAATTAGAATTCCTGTCTCATTCTTAGGGGAAGACTAAGTACCGCGGAATGCTAAAACGTTGACGCTTGTTTCTATAAAAAAAAAAACAAAAAAAAAAACAATAAACAAAGCCAATGTCCGCTTCAGTAATTACAGGAGAATAAGGGAGGGGGGGTAGTTATTTATTACCGGAATGTATTGTATCAAATGACAAAAATATTTCATTAGGCATAAAGGAAACAATAGCAGGTCTGATAGAGAGGGGTGCTAGCACAGTAGCAGCTCCCGTACCTGTATCAACAACAGTTAAAACTTGAACTTAAAAGGATAAAGCTTTGAAACAGTACAAAGTTTCGATAAAACAAAAGCCTAGAACAGACCAGAAAGGAAACAGTCCATAAATGGACAGCAGATTCATTCAGTTTCATGAATAAAACAAGTGGGAAAGTTGTGGTGTGGTGTTAAGTGGATGCAAAGATGGTGGTAATCCTTCAGCAGACGTGGATTGTTGTCGCTCAAGTGCTGCCATCAAGTGCGACATTTCAAAGTTACTCAAATTTTTGTGTCTGGTGACAGTGAGTAGGCGGCCGTGTGATGTAACAAGGTGTGACAACACGATCTCTTTCTTGGACGACCTGCCGATCCAATGGCCGCCCAAACAAGCAGACGCATGTAGGAAGTTTGGGCTCGAGGCTATCAAAGGGTGCAGTGACGCCGTACACGGAGCCAGGTTTTTATTGTGTGGAATGTGTTCACGTAGACATTATAAAGGACGCAAGGGGAGAGAACTTTTTCAAAAGAAAAAGTGGGACCAAGTGTTCCTTTGCTATATTTATAGAACTAGAATAAAATATTTTAATTAGTGGGAGTTATATTGGTATGGACTATTTTATTTTATGGATGCATACAATTGTATAGGCCATTTTGCCAATGAAATCAAGAAATAATTATTTGGCTTCGGTGGGGGTAGTGGGCGTGGGATAGTTAGGTGGGGGGGGGGGGGGGGGTTACAGAGAGAGTGGCGTGGGATGGTTAGGTTGGGGGGATAATGAGGCAGGGACGCGGGGGGGGGGGTACAGAGAGAGGGGCGTGGGATAGTTAGGTTTGGGGGGGGGGGTAGTGAGAGAGGGGCGTGGGGGTAGTGAGAGAGGGGCGTGGACAATATAATGCTCCTGATCTATAATGTGCATGTTAATTTTAGCATTTAACAGTTGGAAAAACCGTGCAGTCCATAGTTGCTCATCATTCTCCGTACTTGAGAAACCGGATGTAACTCTTCTGGACCAGCAGTTTCCAAACACATCCGGGTTCGTAACCTATCAGTAAATATATTTGTCTCCACGTGGCATGGGACTGTCTATGTCTTCATTACAACCCGTGAGTCTTTATATGGGACTGTCTATGTCTTCACATAACCTGTATGTCTATATACGTCTTTCTCCAGAAACTACATATAAGAACCACTAATTCATAATAAATATATCAAAATAAAATAGGCAACGCATTTTATATTGTCACAGAAATGACCAAATGCCTACACTCTGGTGTACCAAAAATGACCAAACACCTACACTCTGATGGTGTCACCACTACAGCTTGACATCTAAAGGCCAACAACACAACAATACAACGGACATGTAAACCAAACTCTTTCATTATTCTAACCGTCTACGGGAATATATCATCTTTTGAAATGTAATCACGTTTTGAAGGCTACGACCTACCTTTGTGTAGGAATACAACAAATGCCCATCTGAGGCTGAAGGTTTCTATTTTGTGTGGGTTAATTAAAAAAAATAGGACCTGATGTTAGACTGGGGTTAGCGTGACCTGATTATCCTGATCCGGTACCGGGTCACGGCCAGTCACGGCACATTGTTTTGGTGAACGGAGGGCAGCGTCACACGCCAAAACATTTTGAGGATATTTACTACACGGGAAGTGGGGCTTACAGAACAAAATAACGGCGGTCCAGTTCTATTGGCATCTAACCACACACATTAACTGGCCTCTAAACCTGAAGTCAAGCAGTCCCCTATTGCTCTCCTCCCTCCCATCCCCCACCATCTAGATATAAATCTTAACACATCTAGATCTACATAAAACGTATCAAGATATAGGCCTACACAACACATCTAGATCTACATAAAACATCTAGATCTGCAAAAGCAAATCTACAAACCAAATCTACACACCAAATCTATACACCAAATCTATACACCAAATCTACGCACAGTTTGCCACTTACTTTTCTCGTTTCCGAGTTTTTGGTGACGTTGGGGTACACGGGTCACTCTTGTGTCCAGTGGAGCAGAAATCTTCATCATCGCTCTCCGAGCTGTCATCTCGCTCGTCGGACGCCCTACCCGGCCAGTCCAGGGTGTCACTCTTCCGTTTGCTCAGCTGTCTGTGGAACTGTGGCGTCTGCTCTCGTTTGGAGAAGGGGGGCGGCATGAGGGACGCGGGGTCGTCCTCGCATGGCCCAATGTCAAGGCCATTGTTTGCTCCAGGGCCATCTTGCTGAAATGGCAGATGGAGGCCACTGTCTCTGGAAGTGTCTGAGGATAATTCTGCCGTCTGATGTGTGGAGTTTTTATGTTTTAGAGTCACATCCCCTGGTTTTTTGACATCTTTTGGTTTTGGCGCGTAATGACCAATGTGGAATCCAAAACTGTCTGTTTTTCTCAAACCATCATTGAGTAGCATTGTCCCCATGTGTGCGCGAGTTGAAGGGCTCAGCGTCGCGTGAGTTTCAGTACAAATTTCCGACTCACCTTCTTGTGTCAAACTATCAACAAGTCCACTGTCGTCTGAAACTAGCAAGCTTTTATTTGTTTCTTTTAGTGGAGACGAGTCCCACTCGTGTCGTACACGCAAAGAGTTATCTAAACTTGAGCTGAGCGCCGTGTGGTCGGCCACCGAACTGAGCTGTGTTGTTAAAGTGGAGAATGAACGCGAGTTGACAAAAACTTTTCTTCCTCTACTTACGTGAGAGGGCGCGGCAGGCGGTGTATGGTAGTCAAGCACGTCTGGGCTGTTGTGATCAGCTGTTATCGTGTGTGTAGGAGTGAGAACAAAACCGGATTCATCCATGTTGTTAATAATCCACTTCCGTCTAGAAACTTCCTCTGCTGTAGTTTAATCCCGCCTCCTGAGCCCCCACTCGACGATGCAGCCACGAGTGGCACACACAGTTGAGCGGGCACGCAGCGAATAAAAAAAAAACGCGTACGTACCAGAGGTGGCAGTCAGAGGTGCAGCCGCAGGCCACGACACAAATTTGTTCACACGCCATAATGTTACACATTTTGACCCGCTTACGTGAGAGCTATGGGAGATTTTGCTCGGGACATCTTCTGAACAAGGCAACAGCACTAAGCAGCCATCAGCAAACCTATCGACACACTGTTGTCGGAAAACATAGGATACACGCACTGTGTCCGATGAACTTTGTTTCTTCCAGACTTTTTTTCTCCGGGGGGGGGGGGGGAGTGGTGAACATTTTCCGGGGGGGGGGGGGCTTGATATTTTCGGTAGGGGGGGGGGTGGTGAACATTTTCCGGGGGGGGGGGGCTTGATATTTTCGGGGGGGGGGGTCAACATTTTCCGGGGGGGGGGGGCGGACACTAGTAAAAGTATATGTTTACTATATAAATTCCATCTCGTTGGGGGGGGGGGGCGGTAGACTTTCTTGGGGGGGGGGGACAGAGCCCCCCCGAAAAGATGCCTGGAAGAAACTCTGCCGATGAATATGGTATAGAATGTATCCAGGCAACATAATCAAGACAATGTGTTCATGGAAGGCGTGGTCGGATGAGAGGACTGATGATTGTTAACTCAAAGTCTCGAGTTCGGCTCTACGGGCAGATGAGGCTCGTTGGCCAGGGATAGTCGCCTTTCTACGAAAGAAAACTCAAACATCAAGCATGGCTGTAGATTGTTCTAGGGTGGACAAGGGCTATGGACGTTTGGACACGTGTTGAAGGATATATTCTTTAGTATTACAATACGTCAAGACACAGTGTCCAGAAAGCCAAGACACAGTGTCCAGAAAGTCAAGACAGTGTCCAGCAAGTCAAGACACAGTGTCCAGCAAGTCAAGACACAGTGTCCAGCAAGTCAAGACACAGTGTCCAGCAAGTCAAGACACAGTGTCTAGTGAGCACAACCTTTCCGCCAACCATGTAGACAGCAGACGATTGGTTCAACCAATTAGATTACACCTTGCACGCCCACGCGCCGACCTTGCAGCGGGAACATGTGCGGTGCTGACGTGATCAGGCTGAGGGAGTCACGTGACCTAGCCCACGGAGACTGGACATTACAGGGATGGCGTCTACAGTTACCGGTACAACGGTACAACGGTACAACGGTACAGGAGGTTGGAGAGAAATCATTGACCACAAACATGCTCCCTGTGTGGGTACAGCTTAAAGGTGCAGGCACGATTTTGTTATGTGGAGGCGGGGAGACAGAAATATATACATACATATATATATATATACATACATATATATATATATATATACATATATATATATATATATATACATATACATATATATATACATATATATATATATATACATATATATATATATATATACATATATATATATACATATATATATATATATACATATATATATATATACATATATATATATATACATATATATATATATATACATATATATACATATATACATATATATATATATACATATATATATACATATATACATACATATATACATATATATATATATACATATATATATACATATATACATATACATATATATATACATATACATATATATATACATATACATATATATATATATATACATATATATATACATACATATATATATATATATATATATATATATATATATATATATATATATATATATATATATATATATATATATATATATATATATATATATACATATATATATATATATATATATATATATATATATATATATATATATATTAATCTTCAATGGCCCAAAGGCCAATAAAACATGCTAAGAATTTAAAAAAAAAAAGCCAACTGTACAAAAAAAAAAAGATGGCGACGTAAAGTCTGACATACCTAATTTTGAAAATCCTACTATCATTGTATAGTTGTATTCCTGTAATTCTTACAGCGGCGGAAGAATCTAACTTACATTGTGAGGTTGTAATTATTACTAATATCTTACACAGATAAAATTAAAATCCAACTATCAAACCTGATTATTTACAAAAATGGAGGTTTCAAACATTGGAGCATTTGTAACAAATATTTCTACAACACAGATCAAAAGACGAAACATACCAATCCTTAATTTTTTGTCTGTAAAAAGAAATCAATTCTAGGTGTATCTAGTCGTAGAGGTTCAAGATGTTGAATCGTGGATTTTGATTAGGATGTATAGATTTTACGTAGGATAGCTAAACGTGTATGATTTCATGTTAGATTAGGACGAGTGATGTATTACATTAGGACGAGTGATGTATTACATTAGGACGAGTGATGTATCACATTAGGACGAGTGATGTATCACATTAGGACGAGTGATGTATCACATTAGGACGAGTGATGTATTACATTAGGACGAGTGATGTATTACATTAGGCCGAGTGATGTATTACATTAGAACGAGTGATATATTACATTAGGACGAGTGATGTATTACATTAGGACGAGTGATGTATTACATTAGGACGAGTGATGTATTACATTAGGACGAGTGATATATTACATTAGGACGAGTGATGTATTACATTAGGACGAGTGATGTATTACATTAGGACGAGTGATGTATTACATTAGGACGAGTGATGTATTACATTAGGACGAGTGATATATTACATTAGGACGAGTGATGTCAGACAGTTGGTTTTTTACCAGATTTACTGTAACTTGATTCATCATGCTTGGTGCTTTTGTCTTCGTCCGTCAGGGGTCGAAACGAAATTTCACTAACTTTCACCAAACCGATTTTTTTCTAAACTTGACAAGTAGGTCAAGATCCGATAAACAATGCAATGGGATGTGAGTTTTCAAATAATTAATTTTAAAAACCCCCAATTAATTGAAGTTTGCTATGTAAATTTGGAGTTAAACTTATTATGCTTAGTTATTGTTTTATCAAAGTTTAATTACTGCGCAAATAAAGACGTAAAAAATCGAACACAGCATGCTATGTTGCAGATGGAAATAACTAAAGGGGAGATCGCCAAAGGCGTGACTTAATTTAACAACCAATGAACTGAATAACTTAAAAAACACAACATTGACAGACTTGTGTAGACGACCGTTTGAAATCAACATGTGCAACTGCCCTAGTGCGTTACATGTGTACGATCTTTCAAACTGGTTGAAGAAATAATTCGAGCTTAAGAAAGGTCTTTATTTGTACAGACGAAAGATTTAAAATCAGTCACATTACAGTACCGCTGTAAGATTTGAAATCAGTCACATTACAGTACCGCTGTAAGATTTGAAATCAGTCACATTACAGTACCTTTGTAAGATTTGAAATCAGTCACATTACAATACCTTTGTAAGATTTGAAATCAGTCACATTACAGTACCTTTGTAAGATTTGAAATCAGTCACATTACAGTACCGCTGTAAGATTTGAAATCAGTCACATTACAGTACCGCTGTAAGATTTAGAATCAGTCACATTACAGTACCTTTGTAAGATTTGAAATCAGTCACATTACAGTACCTTTGTAAGTTTTGAAATCAGTCACATTACAGTACCTTTGTAAGATTTGAAATCAGTCACATTACAGTACCTTTGTAAGATTTGAAATCAGTCACATTACAGTACCTTTGTAAGATTTGAAATCAGTCACATTACAGTACCTTTGTAAGTTTGCAGACCAAGGTATCGACCCGAAATATCAAATTGTAACAACCCATTCGACAAGTCCATAAACTAATGCATTAGTTCACTCAAAAGAAAATCAACTTCAAGCAAACCACACGCCTAACCCAGAATAAAATGGCTGCTATCAGAGAGCTGAACTCACCAATGCATTCGGTAGACAACATACAACAATGTTGTAGAGACTAAGTCGACTTGGTTTGAATCGTTTTCTGACAACTTACATTCCATTTTATATAGATCTATATTCAAACGGTTTCCGGTTACATTATTTTAAAGCGTGATCACCTCCAAGGCCGTTGGTTCTAGTTGGAGGGTGGGGATTGGGGAGTGGGGGGGGGGAGGGGGGGAGGAGGAGAAGATTGTGACTTGAGCCACTGACGTCACAATGGACGATAAATTAAAATACTGAAGGCAACATTGTTCCTATTGTAAACAAACGCACTATTTTTAGATTGTAAACAAACGTGAATTAGTTAGAGGGAAGTTGATTTATTGTACAGGTACAGGTAAGCCTAGACTTTGTTGGACAACAGTTACTGATCATGCTGCTAATTTAATTATCATTAGTGCCTTGGCTGGGTGGGGTAAGACTGACCCGTCCATAGGGCACTTTTTATTTTGTCATAAAAAACGTAAGCATAAATTTTATTAGTGAAAGAAACCCAGCTATTTCCTCGACTCTATATTTGCTACCATTGTTTCGGACGGTCATTTCACAAGTTAAATCTAGATGGGCGTTCTATATATGTTTGTGTGTGTGGTTGTGTGTGCGTTTCAATTATACTTGAAATAAGCAGCTGGTTTGTTGTCAGTATCTGGTATTTGATAAAGGGTGTGTGTGTGGGGGGGGGGGTATTTGTGCCAGCGCAACTGTTGATCTGAGTCCACCCAGCTCTAATGTGTTCCTGACTCACGACAGGGAAACTAAAGGCGGGTATAGTGCTGATCGGAAGTGGATTAATGCCACCGTGACCACACTGTTCCTTCGTATGATGAACTCTCCTTCACCTGTCCCAAACACCATGATGTTCAAAAGGTTATTTAACCCGTTCATCACCAATTTGCAAGTACTGACTTTTTTACCACCTTTTGTAAACACCTTTTACTAACACCTTTTCCCGACACCTTATTTTTAGAAGAGTCCTCCAGGGGTCAAGGGGTACTCATGACGTCATGTCTGCTGGCAGCCAACCCCACTAGATCCTACACCTAAATTGGTGGTTAAGGTAAAACAACACAAAATCAAGGCCCGGCAATTAAAGGTTTGGCATGCC